CGGCCAGGGCCCTGATGGGTGAATGACGTTCTGATCAAAGACGGAGGATCCAGATGCCCTCAACAAGGTGAGAGGAGCCCCGTGGAGTCTTAGGGGTACTCCAAGGCCGCCTAAAGACCAGATCTCTAATCCCTCCCATTTTGCAGCTGGGAAGACTGAGGCACGGAGAGGGGTAATGACTTGACCAAAGTCAGTGAGTCAGTGAACCAAAGCAGGTCAAGGATCCAGAGGGAACCCTGCAGTTCCCTGAGCAGAAAACCAGCAGTTAAAATCTCATTGTCACTTCTGCCTTCAAATCCTCCTCCCTGAGCTCCAGGCATGGGGTCCCCTTCGTCTCCTGCTCCCGGGGCCTGTCTCTTCAGCCCGCTTCCCTCCCTCCCTCTCATCCTCCTCCTAACTTCCCCTGCATGCCACCTGCATGACCTGAGGCTGGCAGAGAGTTCCTGGCACATTTTCTAGTGCTGGCAGGCACAGCCACCAGGTCCCCACTGTTCCATCCAGGGGACACCCTCTCTTAGGTCCCTATCTGGATGACTTGGGACATTCTTTGTTCCACACTTCATCCTCTCTTTGGGGTTTCTGGATCCAGACACAGTGAGGACCCTGACAGCCCCCTCCCCACCTCTTGTCCTGAGAAGACCAGGCCTGCATGCCCAAAGCTCTCTGGGCTGGGTTTTGTGGAAGGCCACATCAGTGCATGGGCATAAACACCAGCTCTGGAGCCAGGTAGAGGCGGTTCTAACACCATTGCTTTGGCTCACTGGGAAAATGATGTCAGTTTCCTCACCTGTGATGGGAGACAATAACCCTTCCTTCCTCAAAGATTGCTCTCAGCTGCTATGGAAAAATCTCCAAGTTGTGATACTAAATGAAACAAACGAGATACAGAACTGTGTAAGAGGCAGAGGCTACTCATGTATGATCTTACGTGCTGCTTGGTCTGTATAAAGAAACCTTGGCCGATACATCTGTAAAGGACATGGTCCCCCGTAGTGAGGAAGTCGGGGAGAACAGGTGAACAGGAGAAGGGCTGAAAGCAACACTTCTCAATTTACACCTTTTATGTTTTGATTCTGAACCATGTGAATGTCGTACCAATTCAAAACGAAATGGAAAGACGTCAACAAATTAAGATATTAAATAATAATAACACATATCTCAATAATATGACAGTCGTGCAGCCACTAGAAACTGACTCAAAGGAACAGAGGCCTGTCTTCAAGTCACTGAATCCTTGGCCTAGAAAGGTCCTTTATTTTGTCAACGTCAAATAGCCTATAACAATAATAATAGTCTTGGTAGCAAGAACCAGGAGCTTCCTACCTGGGGAACACGGTGCCAAGCACTGTCTGAACATTATCTCATTTAATTGGCATTTGGATTTTGTGAGGAAGCTGTCATCATTCCCACTTAACAGATGAGAAAACCGAGCCTCACTGCAGTTTTGAGTAGTAAGTTATAGTAAGTGGTAGAACTTGGATGCCAACAAAGACTTTCCAGCTTCAAATTTCAAGCCCTCCTACAGTGGGTCTCGATATTGGCTGCCCAAAAATACAGTTGCCTGGTGCCTCGCCACCCCTATCCTAAGATTTGATCATTGGTCTGTGATAGGACTGGGCATCTGTCTTTAATTTGAAATATCTTTTTTAAAAATAGACACAGGGGCTGGGTGTGGTGGCTCACGTCTATAATCCCAGCACTTTGTGAGGCTGAAGTGGGTGGATCACCTGAGGTTGGGAGTTTAAGACCAGCCTGACCAACATGGAGAAACCCCGTCTCTACTAGAAATACAAAATTAGCCAGGTGTGGTGGTGCCTGCCTGTAATCCCAGCTCAGCTGTCAGGAGGCTAAGGTAGGGGAATTGCTCAAACCTGGGAGGCAGAGGTTGTGGTGAGTCGAGATTGCATCATTGCACTCCAGCCTGGGCAATAAAAGCACAACTCTGTCTAAAACAAAATAGACATAGGGTCTCACTGTGTTGTCCAGGCTGGCCTCCAACTCCTGGGCTCAAAGCAATCCTCCCATCTCAGCCTCCCAAAGTGCTAGGATTACAGGTGTGAGCCACCATGTTTGGTCAATATCTGTATATATATATATTTTTTTGAAATGGAGTTTCACTCTTGTTACCCAGGCTGGAGTGCAATGGCGTGATCTCGGCTCACCGCAACCTCCGCCTCCTGGGTTCAGGCAATTCTTCTGCCTCAACCTCCTGAGCAGCTGGGACTACAGGCACGCGCCACTATGCCCAGCTAATTTTTTGTGTTTTTAGTAGAGACGGGGTTTCATCATGTTGACCAGGATGGTCTCCATCTCCTGACCTCGTGATCCACCTGCCTCAGCCTCCCAAAGTGCTGGGATTACAGGCGTAAGATGATTCTGTTTCACCTTAAGGGTTGAGTCTGCTTTATATTTGACAAAACTTCACCAGTGGGAAACCAAGGCTGGGGAGGGAAATGACCTTACCCAAGGACACACAGTGGCTGGAACCAGAGCTGGGGCAGGGCACCCAGCAGCTCACATGAAGCCCTTGTGCAAATAAGAAAAAGGCATCCCACTCTGGGCAGGCAGAGCTCCATGGGTACTTGGCTTGGCAAGTGGAACAAGGGCTGGATTTCCACCCCCACTTACCCTCTTGACTGGAAAACCTTTGTGCAGTGAGCAACCTGCACAACTGTACATGGCAGTGACTCTGGCCTCAGCCTCAGGACTTCAAAACACCTCACCTTAGTGACCTGGAAAATCCCTGGGGCCTCTCAGAACAAGAGTCTGGGGAGACTGAGGGTGGCTTCCGGGATGTGGGTTCCTCCCTCACTCCCCAAACCAGAGTCTGGGTCAGGCAGGGGTGACTACCATCAACCATCAGGCCCCGCAAGGTCTGGGAAGGCCACATCTAATTTCCAAGGTCACCCCTGCAGATAAATTCAGGAACATAAACAGGAGGACAACACCACCCTCGGCCCAGATGTCACAAGCCACCTGGCAGGAGGCAGCCCGCAGGGACGCCCCACCCACACAGGCCCAAGTCCTCCTGATCATTCTCCAGACCTTGCAGTCAGCATCTCCCACAGTGCCCTGCTCTCTGCCCTTCTCCCGGCCACCTCTCACTGGCACTTACCATGTGGCAACCCTGGAAGGGTAGGGTAACCCCAGAGTTAGGAGCACAGGCTCTAGAGCCACACTGCCCAGGTTCCAATTCTACTTCTTGTTTCTCATCAGCTGTGTGAGCATGGGTATATAACTCAACCTCTCTGTGCCTCTGGTGTGTAAAATGATGGTAAAAATGTTGCCTCCCTCCCAGAGTGGCTGGGAGGATCAAGGAAGGAACCGGTGCAAAGTCCCTGAAACAGCTGCATAGCCATTGGCCCTGATGATCAATGTGTATATTCTGCCCCATTTGTGTTCTCATGACAACCCTAGAAGTTAAGTAGTATTATTCCCAATTTACAGGTGAAGAAACTGAGGCTCGGAGAGCTTGAAAGAGTCAGGGCAGGGCTCTGCATCTTTCTCCGGGGCCGGTTGCCTCCAGAGACAGGACGTGGCTGAGAGGGATCATAATTGTAGTCTCTGGTTTGCAGCACATGGCTGCTGCTCACATCCTCACAGGGCCCATGGGACACAGAGCCAGGTGGAGTCCCGTGACGTGGGCCTTCCAGTGGCTCTCAGGCACCTCTCTGCTTCCAGCCAGCCCTGGGAGGAGGGGAGAACAGCATGGCACGGCATTTGCAGAGCCATCTTGTTCACCAGTGTCCTTCCAGCCATCGCTCAGGTCCATAGAGAGCCCACCATATATTCCCATGCTTGCTGCAGCCCAGAATACCCAGGTGACCTTCGGTCCTTGGACAAGTCACTTCCCCCTCTGGTCTCCATCTCCCCATCTGTGCAACGAGGGGATGAAGCTGCATCAGTGGTTTTCCAACCTTCAGATAAGATCTTAAGGAAGATTACACACTAAAGGGAGTCGTGGGTTGAAGCTGGATCTGTGGTTACATACTATGTAGCTGCTGGGAGCCTTGGAACGCGGCTTGACAAGCCCATCCCACATCCTCCCAAAGATTCTCCCAGCTCTGACACTGCAGAGTTCTAGAACCCTAAGCTCAAAGCTGCCGCTTCCCATCCCTGTTTGGAAAGCTCTCCCCCAGCTGCCTTTATCTCTCTTTGGTAACAGAGCAAATTTGCTCAGGACCCAGCACAGGGGGAACAAGCAGACTGTTGACTCTTGAGCAAAACCTCCTCTTTGGAGGGCAGCCGAGGTGGCCATGGGATATGCATTGGGAGGCCAGCGGCCTCTTGCATAACCCTGGAGGCCTCCTGCCCACCCAGGCCTTTTCAGGGTTAGGGGTGAGCAAAACCGCAAACTCATGCCCAGTTAATTTTTTAAGGCAAAATCAACAGGCTCAGCAATGATTAGCAGCTGGGTAAGTTGGTCTTAATCAGGCTTGAGGAGAGGGAGGGAGGAAGGAGGCCAGTCGAGGCCCAGGGATGGGGCCCAGTTATCAGTTAACCACATGAATGTTGCTTCCTTCCAAACCCACTGGCCTTCAGCCCTGAGCTCCCTCATCTTCCTCTTGGAAATACTCCTGTGGCAACCCAGTGGCCATCCGTCATGGGGTGAACAAACACAGTGCCACTCACGGTCGGTAGGAGGTGCTACCAGGGCTCATGAGGGTTGCGATGAGGCAGAAAGGGCTCATTGTTAAGATGACGCTCACCCCACCGCCACTGCGTGGCTTTCAGCAAGTCCCTTTCACCCTCTGAGGCTCCCTGAGCGGCCCCAGGTCTGGGCCCCAAGTCTATGGTTCAGTCTGTGGCCAGCTACTGTTCCCCTGATGGCCTCAGTGTTTCTATCCACAAAATGGGTGGGTTAGCCAAGGCATCCCTTCCGGTCTTGAAGTTTTGTGGGTGTCTGATTTGATTAAGCCACAGTGGCCTGCGCCCAAGGTGCAGAGGGTGGTGTGAGCAGCATTTTAGGAGTTCAGGGAAGAGAAAGGGAAGGGACCTACCTGGTATCCGCTGTTGGTATCAGCAAGCGCCAGATCCCAGCTCCAGGAAGAGGGCTGTCCTCTCAGGTGGGAGACAGGGGTCCTGTGGGGTGGCTGTGGCTGTGACAAAGCCCCTAGGTGGCCCAGACCCCCTGTTCCTGGACCCTGGAAGCCGCTAAAGGAAGCAGCAAGGCCAGGCCAGCCTCGGGCCGGGTGGCTGCCTGGACTGGAGTTTGGTCAGTGGTTGGGGACCTATATTGTGAGATAGTTAGGACTTTGTCCACAAACTGGAATTTGAAATTTCAAAGGGGCGAAACTGAAGGGCCCTACCCCACAGTGGAGATGGCTCTTGGCTTCTTTCCTCCACGACTTTTGTTCTTTGTCTTGATAAGTTCCAGTTTTCCCTACACTGCTCCTGGAGTGGCAGGTGGGGAAGACAAGACCGGAGATAGCGGGGTGGTGAGCACCCAGGGGAAGCGAAGGTGCCGGGCAGCCCTGGGGAGGCCAGGCGTGTGGAGGATGCCCCTGCACCTACCTTGCCTGTGCCCAGGGACAAGGTGCTTTACTTCTCAGGTCCCCGAGTTCCCCTGCAAGACCAAGGCAGTGAAGCCACCAGCCCCAGTGCCCTAGAATTCTGAAGTCCTTTCTGGGATTCCAGGAGTCATGATCCAAGTAGGGCATAGAGGGGCAAAGCCCTCAAGCTCTGGAGTCAGGACTCGGGTTCAAATGACAGCCCCTCCCTTATGAGCTGTGTGGTTTTGGGCAAATCACTTCACCTCTCTGAGCCTCAATTTTGTCATTTTTAAAATAGGGATGACAGGCCGGGTGTGGTGGCTCACGTCTGTAATCCCAGCACTTTGAGAGGCCAAAGTGGGCAGATCACCTGAGGTCAGGAGTTCGAGACCAGCCTGACCAACATGGAGAAACCCTGTCTCTACTAAAAATACAAGATTAGCCAGGCATGGTGGCGCATGCCTGTAATCCCAGCTACTCGGGAGGCTGAGGCAGGAGAATCGCTTGAACCCGGGAGGCCAAGTTTACACTGAGTCGAGAACATGCCATTGCACTCCAGCCTGGGCTCAAGAGCGAAACTCCATCTCAAAAAAAACAACGAAGAAATGGGGACGACAATAGCCCCTATCTCAATGGGCAGATAATATGAGAAGAGTAGAAGGCTTTTGGCACCAAGGCTAGCACAAAATTTCTCTGTAAATATTAGACCTTATTGAAATGAAAAAGAGAAACAATGTGGCTCATAGCGGCAGCGCCCTTACCACTGTCCACAGCAGAGGCACGAGCTCTCTTCTCCTGCCTCCCTGACTGCAGGCTGCCCAGGGCAATCCCTCCTTCCCATCTCAATTGGATTGCTCGGTGAGCTCCGAGGTCCTTTGCTATCTCCCAGGATCTGCTGCCTCTTGAGCTGGGGCCTGACAGCCCAAAGCAGGTGAGCAGAGGTAAAGAACGGCTGCTAAGTCGATGGCACTGAGGCCAGAGCTTGTTCATGGCTGGGTGTGCAGTACCTGGAGCTGTCCTAAGCAGGGGTCCTGATTCCGACTGATTATGTGGCCAGTGTGTCATGGAGTCAATGACCAATGACAGTAACTGCTACTGTTGTACTGTGCGCCTACATCCAGTTGTTTAATGCTTGAACCATCCCTACGAAGAAGGTGCCAACCCACTTTTTCTGATGCTGAAACTAAAGCTGAGAAAGGTAGAAGTTGAGGCCGCAGAGTTTGGTACATGGACACTGCCTGGATTTTAACCCAGGTCTATCTGACTTCAACGTCTGTGGTTTTTTTCCCCTAAAGAGAAGTCAGGAGGAAGGGGGGCTAAGAACCTTATTCACTCCATCATTTAATCTTTACAATGAACTACAAGTTAGACCCATTTTACAGAAAGAGTAACTGGGGCTTCGAAATAATAACTTGCTTTGTTCAGACTGCTGGCCCTGGGCTTGGAATATAAACAGTCACTGGTGTACAGGACCAGAGACCAACACCCACAGGCTCACATCAGTCCACAGAAAGAAGCTTATTTTTTTATAAGCATAGAAATAAAAACCAAACCAATACTGTGACATCTGCTCTGTGACTTGCTGTATTTACTATGTGCTCATATGAAAGCATCTGAGCCTTGTCGGGATCATGTTCTTCCTCATTGGAGGGGGTTATGAAGTTACTTTCTTTTTCTCCATTAGTTAAAAAAAATTCCCTTGGAAGAAGGGAATGAAACGTTTTATAACTGATACATAATAATTATATATATGTATGGAGTTCATGTGTTTTGACACATGCATATAATGTGTCATGATCAATCAGAGTGTTTAGGATATCCATCACCTCAAGCATCTGCCCTTTCTCTGTGTTGGGGACACTTCAGATCTTCTTCTCAATTGATTGAAATAAACAATCAATTATTGTTAACTGTGATCACCCCACCGTGCTATAAGCACTAGATCTTATTCCTTCTATCTCACCATATTTTTGTATCCATGAACCAGCATCTCTTCATCCCCTGAATGAAACATTCTTAAAAAAAAAAAAAAAAAGTTTTCCTCTATCACCCAGGCTGGAGTGCAGTGGTACAGTCTCAGCTCACTATAGCCTCCACCTCCTGGGTTCAAGCGATTCTCCTGCCTCAGCCTCCCAAGTAGCTGGGACTACAGGCACATGCCACCACGCCTGGCTAATTTTTGTAGTTTTAGTAGAAATGGAGTCTCCATGTTGGCCAGGCTGGTCTTGAACTCCTGATCTCAAGTGATCTGTCCACCTTGGCCTCCCAAACTACTGGGATTACAGTCGTGAGCTACCTCGCCCGGGCTGAAACTTTCAAGATCTCAAGATACCATACATTTAAAGCACCCCAATCTCTTCCTTTTCCACGTCCCATTCTTTCTCCTCATTTAACATGAAGAACATTGTATTAATCTGATTTTTAAGGATTTTTTTGTCTGTTATGTGTTAAGGATTGTTTGGTATCCCAATGAAAACATTCTGCATTGCAGACCAAACTCTGCCTATTTCAGGGGCATGAGATCATTTCATTCCTAGCCATTGTCACAAAATACATGGAGTCATATTTAAAATATAAAGTGGTGACATACATATGTTTAAAATGGAAATATAAACCAAAAAGATGGATATGCAATGTCATGTATATTAAGTTCTCTATACTTATGTAAATGTAACTGACTTGTCTGTCTGTTACTGAACTGTGGGTGTAAGGACACATCTCCGGCTACTTTGCATCTGTAATCCACAAGGGTTCTGGGCAGTGGCCACCTCAGTTTTCTCTGTATTATCCTAGCCTGGTTTAGATAAACTATGCAGTAACAATGAACAACAAGAACAAAAGAAATAATTGCTTGCCTGAGGTCACAGAGCCAGCAGATCTTATAGGTGGTGCATCGTTTATATGAGCAATGTGTATCTAGAACATACCGTTCGGCGTTGACTAAGGGTGGGATGACTCATGTATGTAAGAGGTTATGCAATTTCCATAATGAGTGGATAGATTTACTTACGGGGCAGGTTATAATGTGGTGGGTGTGAATCTAGAACGTACCTCCTAGGCAGTCATGCAGGTTGAGCATTTGGTAAGTCAGGTATGTTGTGGTTCATAGATCTAGCAGCTCATCATTTGCAGGCTGTCTACCTCGTAGTTCTTGTGTATAACGGGCCAAGGCTGTGGCATGGTGTTGATTCTAGACCTTATTTGATTGATTCTAAGACATCTTCTATAGAAAAATGCATTGTTATTTTTGTTAACAATGAAATTCTGACATGCCATTGATCACATACCCCCACTTTTTTTGTTGTTGTTGAGACAAAGTTTCGCTCTTGTTGCCCATGCTGGAGTGCAATGGCTCTATCTCGGCTCGCCGCAACCTCCGCCTCCCAGGTTCAAGTGATTCTCTTGCCTCAGCCTCCTGAGTCACTGGGATTATAGGCATGGGTCACCACGCCTAATTTTGTATTTTTAGTAGAGATGGGGTTTCTCCATGTTGGTCAGACTGGTTTCAAACTCCTGACCTCAGGTGATCTGCCTGCCTCGGCCTCCCAAACTGCTGAGATTACAGGCATGAGCCACCACACCCAGCCTCACATTTCTCTTTAAGCAATGTGGAAGTGTGCCTCAGAGTGGATGAGGCCATGTATTACTGGGTTGTGTGGGCAGTAGCTCTGCCTGTGGCCTGCCATAGGTGCCAGGCAGGTGGCAGGGACCTGGGCTGGGCTCCTGGAGGCTCCTCCCGGAGCTGCCCTCCACTTCTCTTCTGTGTTGATCCCTTAGTCAGATCTTCCCTTTCTGCCCACTGCTGCACTTCCCCCAAGGCCGGTGGAGCCAGATCAGATATTCCTGAGGTAGGCATGGGAGAAACCCACCAGCATTTGGTCTCTTTCAGCCCCTTATAAAATCTCAAAGTGTGGGTTGTTGGGGCTCCTCTTGCTCCCTCCCTCAAAGCCTTCTCCTGGCCAGTAGAAAACTAAGCCAGGGTCATCTTTCCATTTTACAGAGGGAGAAATTGAGGCCCTGAGAAGAGATAGATGTAAATAAATCTATTGGAATAGTGACTGAGCTAGTTCCTAAACCCAGGTCTCCTGGCACCAAATCTAGCCTCTCTTCTCCTCCAGAACAGTTGCTCCCTCTCCCCTTTCCCTGTAGGAAACAGCACACAGCCCCCTACATCATTTCAGCTTCAGAGGTCAAATCAAGTGGGGAGAATAAAGCCAAGCAGGGCAGAGAAAGGGCTTCCAGCAGTGGGAAGAATGGAGAGGATGCCTCCTCATACCTGTCAAACACACATGCCCTGACTCCCGATTTGCTAACTGATTAATTCACCCATACATTCAATCATTCATTCACTCACTAATTCACCCACTCATTAATTCACCTACCCATTTGCTCATTCACTCATTCATTCACCCACCGATTCACTCATTCACATACTCAGTAATTTACTCTCATTCATTCATTCACTCACTCAATTCATGTATTCACTCAACTTACTCATTAATTCACCTTGTCTCGAATTCACTCGCTTCTAATTCATCCACTCATTAATTTCCCAACCCCCCACTCACTCATTAACTGGTGCTCTCACTCATTCACTCACTCTTGCTCACAGGTGTCACCGAGTCCCTCCAACCTGCCCTTGCAGCCAGTAGCAGAGGACAGGCTCCCAGGTCTCAGGCATTCCTTCCTCTGCCCTCTACATCGAGACTTTACTTCCAGGTAGATTAGCAGCTCTTGAAAGTGTCTGCACAGAATGCAATGAGGGCTGGAGGAATGAGAAGAACAGAGTGTACCATGAGCTTCGACAGGCAGGACCAGCTGTGTAATTTGCAGGACCTCGTCCAAAACAAAAATCAAACCCCTTGTTCAAAAGTGATGATGAATTTTCAGACAACCACAGCAGAGCACCAAACCCGGCACCAGGACTCTCTAAGGGTTGGGCTGCCTGTGACTGCTCTGGCGATCCCCCCACAAAGCCCACTTTGAAGATAGGAGGCAGGTGGAGAGAAACAGAGGGATGGAAAGGGGGATACAGAACAGGGAGAGGGAGGAGGAAGAGGATGGATGTCTGCCAGGTCCCACTTGGTGTTTTTTATGCCGTCTCATTTCTTTCTCAAACCACTCTTTGAGGTTGATTGTACATTTTACAGAGAAGGAAACTGAGGCTCAGAGAGGAGAATCATTTACCCAAGGTCCCACTTAGCAGATGGTAGATGCCTGAATGTAAATCCAGGTCTCTCTCTGCTCTGGGAGGGGGTGAGAGTGAGGGAAACAGGAGAAAATGAAGGGAAAATCTGAGATGGAGTCTGTCTGGGCCAGAAACTCCAGGAGCTGTGGGAGATGGTGGGGCACAGGGTGGGGTCCTAGGGAGCAGGATTGGGGAATTGGAGGTGAGTCTGGCCCTCCCAGCCTTCCAGTCCATTCTGCTCCCAGGAAACTGCAGGGGAACTGAAGGGAGCTCCCAGAACAAGGATCCAGAAGATTGACATCTGAGGCCTGGGATTTAGGTTTCTAAATCATGGGCCATGGGGCAGCCTTATCTCTACAAGAGCATTGAGGGTAGAAGTCAATGATTTGGGAAGTTATTGAATGAGGGGATCTCGGAGGGAGGCTGTCAGTGCCTGATAGTATCAGTTAGAATGTCCGACTTAGGATGACAATGGCTTGGAGGGGCGGCTGAGTCAAGGGTCAAATGAGTGACCGTGAGTTACGATGCCTGCCTTGTACAATTGATAACTGAGTATCGGTGAGTTAGGGCCCCAACAGTTGTAATTAGCACTCCGGGTGTCAGCCAGAAACCAACAAACAGCCAAATCCCTGCAGCCCCGCCCAGCCTATTTACCGGCGGGGGACCGATTAACCATTAACCCCCACCCCTCCCTGGCAGAGCCTCCACCCCTCCGCAGAGGCTAGGCCTAGACTCCCAGCAGATCTTCCCAGAGGACGGTTTGAAAGAAAGGCAGAGAGGGCACTGGGAGGAGGCAGTGGGAGGGCGGAGGGCGGGGGCTGGGGCTCAGCCTTCGGGGTGGGCGCCCAGGGCAGGGCAGGTGGCTGTGGCGTGGAGGCAGGGGAGAATGCGCCTCTCCAAAACCCTCGTCGACATGGACATGGCCGACTACAGTGCTGCACTGGACCCAGCCTACACAACCCTGGAATTTGAGAATGTGCAGGTGTTGACGATGGGCAATGGTAGGTGGGGGCAGGTGTGCCCAGGTGTGCCAGTGGGGCAGGTATGCCTGGGTACAGGAGCGAATCTTTGGTACTCAACTTTGGGGTGGGAGGAGAATGATAGAAAATAGTAGGTTGGTCCTACAGGCTAGCACAGGTATTGCCAGGTGAAGCCGGTGTGCCCAGGTACAGTGATCACAGGCATTCCGGGTGAAGGGAGGCCTGCAAGGGCCAATTTCCAGCAGAAGTCAACCCCAGCTGTTCCTCCCAGGCCCTTCCGGTCCCCACTGTCTTGCAGCGGCTCTGCTTGGAGTTTGGCACACTGACGTGATGGTGAGGTCCCTTTCGGTGCCCAGCTCCAGCAATTCAGCCTGGCACAGCCCCTTCTTGAACCCCTCAGGCCTAGGTTCAGAGAGATGGCAAGGGGCATTGTGTCCCTGGAGGATGGTGGTTGGAGACATATATCTGCATTTCTCGGTGTCTTTGGGACTTCCCTAGGGGAATTGGCACTTAGGGAAAATGGGGTTCTCAGGGAAGTTTTGCTAACTAAAATCCAGCTCAGCACTGTGTGTGTTGTGTTGTGTGTGTGTTCGTGTGTGATCATGAGTTTCCGTGTAAGTTGTATGGGTGGGGTGATGCCTCCAGGAACACATTTGCATATGTGTGTTCATTTGTCTCTGTGTGTGAGTTCTGTGCCTATTTCCCTTTGTATTTATTGAGTGGGTCTGTGTTTGTGTCTCTAGGAGGTGCCCGTGTCGATCTTGCTTGTGCATGTAAGTGACTGGGTGTACGTGTGTCTGTGGATGTTTGTATATGTGTGCTGTGTGGGGGTCATACAGGACATGTGTTTGTGCATGCAGACCTGTTGGAGTGCTGTTCTTCCTGCATGCTTATCCTGTGTGGGCGTTTTGTCGTGTGCCCATATTTGTACCTGCTGTGTGCATATGCAGCCCCCTGTACCTCAGGTGAGGTCAGCGGTCTCTAGTGTGCATGAATGCCAGACCCAAGTGCAGGATTCTGTTGTTGCCGTTCACCAAGTGAGCTTCACATCAGCAACGTGTCTGTTAATCTCTGAGCAGATTTTGTTGCCGGCGTGTCTCTCCAGATTCATGTTTCCACTCTGACATCACTGGAGCATATCTGGAGGGATGGGCCGTTCTCCTCCACAGGGAGGTAGGGGAAAGGAGGGTGTCTGGAAACCCCTCCTGGAGGGAAGGGCCCCATCAGGTCCCAGGCCAGCCTCAGAGGAGAGGGGGCAGGCAGCTAGCTGAGGTCAGCCTGCCACCCCTCTTCCTTCTGTGTCTTGGAGCCACACAGCCAGTATCAGCCTGCAGTTCCCGCTGAGGCCTGGAAGCTTGTGGTCAGCTTTGCTAGAGTGAGGAGGCAGCTGCTGGGCACTGCCTGTGGTCAGCTCAGCAAGTGTTCGACTGCCCCTGCAGTCCAGTTACTGTGTGACCTTGGGCATGTCACCTCCCCTCTCCTGGCTTCTGTATCTTCTACAAAACAGGCTTCATTCCCCCAGGCCTGGTGGCTGGCCAGTTGTTTAGCCCTGTCTGAGGACCACTCGAGGAGCTCAAGGCGAAAATGCCCTGGAGATGCTAAACAAGTTGCTGCCACACGAGGCAGAGTGCAGTGTGTCCCCAGGAGGGTCACTGCCCTACCCTGGCTGCTCCCCGCCCCCATCACTTTTTCAAAGCCTGGGAACTGTGTGCTCCTGAGGCAGAGGCCAAGCCCCTGAACTGGGTGCCCCAAAGACAAGACCACCTCCAGCTCTGGAACCAGAAAGATCTGGACTCAAATCAGGCATGGATCCTTCCAACCTGTGTGAACGTGGCAAGGCAGTTTCCTCTCTGAGTCTCAGTTTCCTCATCTATAAGATGGGAAGCCGTAATAGTGTCTGTCTGCCAGGGCTGGCCAGAGGATAAAGATAAGGTGCCTGGGTGCTGACCCTGGTAAAGGGTCCTGGCCCCAACATGGGTCATCTCAAGGGCTCTGAGCATCTTAAGCAGGGTCCCCAGTATTCCTTGCTGGAGTTTGAAGTGTTCTGAATTGGGGTTATGTGACGTTGTCCTCCAAAGTGTTTTGGGTACATCCTGGGCTAGTAGTTCAAATGTTCAAAGGATATTTCTCCCCATCCACTCCCTACCCCAATGCAGCAGCAGCCCCGGGGCTCCTTGTTCATTAGAGGCCCCAGCAGACACCTCAACACATGTGGCTCTGGCTGGAGTAGCCCAGCACACCTGGACCATAAGCCCATGCCTCGGCTTCACTGCAAGCAGTGTGACACCAGGAAGCCACTTGTCCTCTCTAAGTCTCAGTGTCCTCATCTGTGGAATGGAGGTGCTCGGCTGACCTCAGAGGGGAGTTGATAGAGCTGACAGCCCCCAGCCCATTCTGTCCCTGAGGTGGGCGCTCCTTCCCCAGCCTCCTGCTGAACAGCCAGGAGCTGTGGGGTCAGCTCTCCCTGGGGTCGGGGGAGGAGAGGCTGAGGGAGAAAGGGCACCCATGCGGCTTAACAATTATCGCCATCTCCAGGAATAATTCACCAAGTGGAGGGGGGCCGCACTCCTGGGGACACCCGGGAGTCTGCGATGGCAGAAATGAGACGCACCAGTGCCTGCTTGTGCACGGAGCCTGGAAGTCCTCTGCTCTGAGAGTTTTCTTCTGCAGAAAAGTTTTTATTTCACAAACACTAATATAGTGCTTACCATGTGGTAAGCACTTCACATACACATATGAGAATTCACCAAATCCCCATAACAAACCTGGGAGAATGTCATGTTTCCCATTTTACAAGTGAGGATACAAAGGCATAGAGAAGTAAATGAACACAGCCAACGTCACATGGCTAAAAAGTGGGCAGGCTGGGATTGAACCCTGGGCAGAAGGCCTTCAGGGGCTATGCTGTTACCTACAGCGCGTGGCCCTCTCCAGGTCTTAACTGGATGACCCTGAGGAATACAAGGTCCGATTTAGGATTTCTATGAATACACGTGTGTGTGTGTGTGTGTGTGTGTGCATGTGTGTATGTGTCTGTGCATAGGTGTGCATGTGCGTATATGTGTGTGGAGTATGTGCATGTATGTATATGTGTGTACATGTGTTGATATGTGTATGTTGTATGTTCATGTGTGTGCTGTGTGTGCATGTGTAGACTGTGTCTGTGTGCACGTGTGTACATGTGTGTGAATGTGTATGTTCATGTGTGTGTGGACTGTATGGGTGTGTGCATGTGTATGGTTGTGTGTGGACTCTGTGGTGTGTGTGTGGTATGTGGTGTGTGTCTTCATGTGTGTGAACTGTGGTATATGTACCTGTGTGTGTGTGCGCATATGTGCACCTGTGTGTGTGCATGTGCATGTGGACTCTATGGTGTGTGGTTGTGTGTGGACTGTGTAGTGTATGTGGACTGTGGTGTATGTTCGTGTGCGTGTGTGTATGTGACTGTGGTGTGTGTCTGTGAGCATATGTGTGGATTGTGTGGTGCATGTGTGTGTGGACTGTGTGATGTATGTGGACTGTGGTATGTGTTTGTGTGTGTGCACGTGTATGTGACTGTGTGGTGTGTGTGTGTGTGCATGTGTATGTGACTGTGTGGTGTGTGTGTGTGTGCATATGTGTGGACTGTGGTGTGTGTGTGTGGACTGTGGTGTATGTGGACTGTAGTGTTTGTGTGCGTGCATGTGTATGTGACTGTGGCGTGTGTCTGTGTGCATGTGTGTGGACTGTATGGTGTGTGTGTGTTTGTGTGTGGCATGTGTGTATGTGGCGTGTGTGTGGACTGTGGTGTGTGTTCGTGTGTGTACGTGCATGTGTATGTGAGTGTGTGGTGTGTGTCTGTGTGCATGTGTGTGGACTGTATGGTGTGTGTGTGTGCTTGTGTGTGGCATGTGTGGCACACACACTTGCATTTTCCCAGGGGCTGACCCATTGCATTTGTTATCTTCTCCAAAGGGGTCTATCTTTGGTGAAAGATTTGCTGACAAAACGGGGGTTCAGCTGCTATTTTTTTAATTTTGGAAACAGACCAGTCAAACTGCTCCCTTTTATGGTTAGAGAAACTGAGGCCTAGAAGAAATTGAAGCAAGGAGAAGTTGCCCAAGTTTACAGGCAAGTTAGTGGCAGCATCAGCACTAGTGCCCAGGAGTCCTGGAACCCAGCCCGAGATCCTCTTTGCCACCTGCCTCTATGGCCCCCCTCACATTTGTGTAGATGCAGTAGCTTTTACCTGGGAGATGAGAGGGACGGGAGCCATGTCCAGACCCTCCCAGGAGGCCACATGAGTGACTGTTCTTGGCCCAAGTCTTTCCTGTTCCCCAGAGAATTTGCGGGGCCCCTGGGCACGCAGCTGAGATCCACCCAGCCTTAGTGGTCACTGGGTGAGAACTGAGGGACAGGACCTGGTTCTGGGGAGAATGTTTCTCCCTTCCGCAGCCCCCTCCCCAGTTAGGAGCAGGCTCTCACCCTGGAAGGTGGCCAGATTTTCATGCCTGCCTAGAGACAGCTGGGGCTCGTGGCCTCCACCACAGGGAGATGCACACCCTCAGAATCAGCTCTGTGAAGTCACCACCAGCCCCAATTTACAGATGTGAAACTGAAGCTCCAAAAGTCAGGAGGTCACTAAGCAGGGAGGCGATGGAGTGGGAACAGCCCCCTGATATGGCTGAGGCCGAAGCCCTGGAGAGATCCCCGCAGGGCTCCCTTAGATGTCTGCCTTTCTGTTCTTCCTGAAGCCTCACTTCCTTCTCTCCTGCCACAGACACGTCCCCGTCAGAAGGCACCAACCTCAACGCACCCAACAGCCTGGGTGTCAGTGCCCTGTGTGCCATCTGCGGGGACCGGGCCACAGGCAAACACTACGGCGCCTCGAGCTGTGACGGCTGCAAGGGCTTCTTCCGGAGGAGCGTGCGGAAGAACCACATGTACTCCTGCAGGTGAGGAGCCTCAGTTTCTCCAGCTGGGAAATGGGCACACTTGGGCTCATGTCCCCAGGGTCTGTCTTCTCCCTGAGTGGGTCCCAGAGACAGCTACCCTTCAGGGCTTTCAAGGCTCTTTGGGTTTTGTAGGCTTTGTAAATCCAAAGAGGGCGTCTATTCTAGGAACCACATTTACCGATCATCAAGCTACTGGCTGCCTTTATCAAGCTCTTATCCAATGCCAGGCACCATACTAAATCTTCGTGTGTATTCAACCATCCCCTTAAGCCCATTGTCATTTTTCCCATTCCACGAGGCCTCTTCTGAAGCCTCAGTATATGAAACCATCTTCCCGTCTTGTGCTTTTTCTGGGACAAATAGGAGATTGACCCCATGCCATTCCAGCTACCGCAAGGGCTTCCACCAACCCCAAAGTCTTCCCAAGGCCCTGGAGAGCCCTCTTTCGAAAGCATCTCCTGTTCTGGGTAATCACAACAATAAAATCACGGCAGCTTTCAACTGTGAGCACTTGTCATGTGCAGATACTGTGCCCCATCGGTGCGTGACTTCGTTTCACCTGCCAACACCCCTGTGAGATGGTTACTGTTGTTATTCCCATTTTATAGAGGAGGAAGCTGTGGCTTGGAGGGCTAGGCAACTGCCCAAGGTCAACCAGCTTGAATCCATGGCAGAGCCAGGGTTGACACTCAGGGCCCCACCCATCAACACTGTGTGGCTTGGCCTCTACTTCCTATCCCCCTCCAGAGAGAGGTTTATGTGAACCAAGCATTAACTCTGAGCCATAACTAGGAGCCTGCTCTGGGTTCTGGGCTTTTATAGGATGTGGTGGAAATAGCAGGGCTCTGGTACTCAAGAGGTCAAGTCTCCCAACTCCGCTGTAACCGCAACCAGCAGAGTCACCCAGGGCCACACGTTGCCTCTCTGAGCCTCAGTTTCCCCTTGTTTAGAAGGAGAGGACTGGAGTCTTAGGTCGTAGCACCTCTCCAGCTCCTGATGAGTTCAAGGGAGAAGTCCTGGGATGAAGGGATGAGAGCACTGAGGCTGAGGGTCCACTAGATAGCCAGGGCCCTAGTTCTGTCCTAAGAGGAGGAAGTTGTGTCTTCTCCATCCAACCATCCAAAGCCCTCCCCAGATTTAGCCGGCAGTGCGTGGTGGACAAAGACAAGAGGAACCAGTGCCGCTACTGCAGGCTCAAGAAGTGCTTCCGGGCTGGCATGAAGAAGGAAGGTGAGCCTCGGCCCCCTCCCCACTGCCCCACCTGCATCCACAGCTCCCCGACAGTCATTTACAACTGTAGCCGCACTTTATGACTCAGTGCCAGGCCCCAGGGTGACTGGCTAATGGCCGAGAAGAGGGAGGGCCTGGAAATCTGACCATAGGGAGCGGCTGGGCTTGGTCTTGAGAAAGATTCAGAGAGATAAGCTCCCACTCTTGGCTCTTCAGGCTCCCAGCAACCACTACCCCTGCCTGCCTGCCTGTCTGTGCCACCACAAGGTAGCCATGTTGGGTGTTTGTTTTTTTAAATATAATATTTCGAACATTAGGGCAAGCATAAAGAATGACATTGCAGGACGGGTGCGGTGGCTCACACCTATAATCCCAGCACTTTGGGAGGCCGAGGCGGGTGGATCACGAGGTCAAGAGATCGAGACCATCCTGGTGAGCCGAGATTGTGCCATTGCACTCCAGTCTGGGTAACAACAGCGAAACTCCGTCTCAAAAAAAAAGAATGACATTGCAAACATCTGCGAACTCACCACCCCAACTTCACAAAGGGGACAGCCAGGGGAGCCCAATTCCTGAACTTCTGTGCCAGGGACAAGCACTCCAATTCCCTTACTATTCATCTATGGGTATCAGACAATTTCCAAAATCTTCACATTCTAGAAAATTGGAACAAGGCCGAGCGCTGTTGCTCATGATTGTAATCCCAGCACTTTGGGAGGCTGAGGCAGGCGGATCACAAGGTCAGAAATTTGAGACCAGCCTGGCCAACACAGTGAAACCCTGTCTCTATTAAAAATACAAAAAATTAGCCGGAAGTGGTGGTATGTGCCTGTAATCCCAGCTACTCAGGAGGCAGAGGTTGCCGTGAGCCGAGATTGTGCCATTGCACTCCAGCCCAGGGGACAGTGAAAGACTCCATCTCAAAAAAAAAAGAGAGAAAGTGGAAACAAGACCCCAGACCCATCCTGGACGAAGGAAGGCAAGAAGACCAGAGCACAACATTTACTAAGGTCTTGCCAGGCCTCCTGCTACCAGGAGGTATCAGTCATTGGGCTGGGCTTTTTCTACACTTCAATGGGCTGGGTTCCTTTCATTTTCGTGACAACCCTATGTAGGAAAACGTCATGAAAATGAAATGAACCCAGCCCATTGAACCTATTACAATTCCTCCCTTTTCGTGGATGAGGAACTGAGGCGCACAATTTTTAAACAACTTGCCTAGGGTCCCACAACTGATGCTTGAGGTTGAACCCAGAGCTTTGTGCTGCTTGGACCACATTTGGCTGCCTATTACTTTATGCCCCCCAGATCCCAGGGCTGTTTAAAATTGCATTCAGTCCATTGCCAGTGAGCCAAGATCGTGCCACTGCACTCTAGCCTGGGCAACAAAAGCAAAACTTCATCTCAAAAAAAAAAAAAAAAAAAATTGCTTTCAGCCCAAGCAAGGGAAGCAGAGATTTTTTTTTTGGAAACGGAGTCTTGCTTTGACACCCAGAGTGGAGTGCAGTGGCACGATCTTGGCTCACTATAACCTCCACCTCCCAGTTCAAGCAATTCTCCTGCCTCAGCCTCCTGAGTAGCTGGGATTACAGTCATGTACCATCATGCCCAGCTAATTTTTGCAATTTATTAGTAGAGACAGTGTTTTACCATGTTGGTCAGGCCCCCTGGTCTCGAACTCCTGACCTCGTGATCTGCCCACCTCAGCCCCCTAAAGTGCTGGGAATACAGGCGTGAGCCACTGCACCTGGCCACAAAAATCTTTTAACTGCTTTAAACTAACTTAAGGCCAGGCTCAGTGGCTGACACCTGTAATCCCAGTACGTTGGGAGGCTGAGGTGGGTGGATCATTTGAGGTCAGGAGTTTGAGACTGGCCTGACCAACATGGTAAAACTCTGTCTCTACTAAAAATACAAAAAAATTATCTGGACATGGTGGTGCATGCCTGTAGTCCCAGCTAATCAAGAGGCTGAAGCAGGAGAATTGCTTGAACCCAGGAGGCAGAGGTTGCAGTGAGCTGAGATCATGCCACTGCACTCCAGACTGGGCAACAGAACGAGACTTTCTCTCAAAAAAAAAAAAAGTAGCTTGAGTTTATTTTCCAATCTCTTCATTTCCTGCTCCTCTAAATACAACCTTTCTCAGCCCTGTGACCAGCCCCAGACCTTTGCTTCTAGCCCACAGCCAAACCTTGGCCCAGTCCTGCTAGCTTTTTACAAACACCCACCCCCCCCACTCCCCAGCACACCCCAGAAGCAGGAACTTAAGACCCAGCTTGCTCCCGGGCCCGCTGAGAAGGAGAGGAGGGAAGGTTTTGGTAGCCTGTCTTTCCCCTATATCTGCTCCTGGTCCCCAGTTTTCTCTCCCCTCCCTTGGAAATACCTTCTATGTCTCATCCTTACAGGGCCTTAGTTTGAGTTTATGAAATGTCTTGGAAAATCTGGGCTTGCTAATCCTGATATGGGAGCGGGTGGTCCCCAAGGCCTGCTCTAAACACTGCAATTCTAACATGTAGACCTCAGTAATGTTCCAAGGGCAAGAGGGGCTTTTTCAAGCTGCAAATACTCCTTCTTCTCCCCAACCCAGTTTTCAATGGGGTTGAGCCTCTCTCCTCCACTTCAGCTTCCACTTTGTGGACTGAGAAAAGTAATGAATAAGAACATGATGCACGTGTGAACAGTTGGAGGCAAGAAAACGACGGAGAACTACAGTCTAAGGTTCTGACATTTCTGTGGTTGTAATAGTCCGCGATTCCCACTATCCTCAAAGCCTAGGATTTTAGGCATTGCTCGTAGGTGTCATCCAGAGGGCACTGGTTTGAGAGAAGGACTCTCTCACAGTGGAGGTTCAGGTCTGTGACTGGCAGGTGGGAGAGGGGTTGGCAGCCCTCCTGAGTGGATGGCTACCCACCTCCACTGCGTGTGGCCTGGTCCTGCGTGTGGTCAGTTGTTACAAATAATGTCTCTTATTAGACATCCAGAGTCATTTTCACTTGCGTAATTTAGGGACATTTCTGTCCCTTCTGGGCTCCAGTTTTCTCATCTATAAAATGAGGACATTGGATAGTGAACCCTTCAGCTCTATGAGTCTCGATCCTCACTGCCCACCTACCTGCACGGGTTCACACTGCCCACTAGGGTGGGTATGTTTGTTCCCTGGTCCCATCTCGGCTCACTGCAACCTCTACCTCCTGAGTTCAAGTGATTCTCTTGCCTCAGCCTCCCAAGCAGCTAGTTTTACAGGTGTGTGCTGTCATGCCCGGCTAATTTTATATTTTTAGTAGAGATGGGGTTTTACCATATTGGCCAGGCTGGTCTTGAACCCCTGACCTCAGGTGATCCTCCCACCTCAGCTTCCCAAAGTGCTGGGATTACAGATGTGAGCCACTGCACCCAGCCCCTGGCTCTCTCTTGAGCTGCTGCAAAACCAGCAAACCTCTTACCAGGCTCCTGGAAGGGGGATGAGAGCATCAGACCGTTCAGCCTTAGCTCAGCCTTGAAAATAGCTGCTTGCTTCCTGGCCCAGGGAAACTGACATGCTGGCCGGAGGATAGGAGAGGTGGCTGATGGCAAGTGAGTGTGGGTTAGTCAATGTTGTTTACATGCCTGAGTTACCTGGAAGATCATGACACATGCAGTCACTTGGTTGTTTTGAGAACGGGCCAGAGTGGCAAAATGCTCAGTTGCCACTGTGGTCAAGCCGTGGGAAGTGAGGGTATTCCTAGCTCTACCTAAGTCTTCTAGGCCCTACCACTCCTTCTCAGCCTGCCAGGAAGCTCCCGAAGTCAAAAGAAAGTCCTGGCGGAAATCTCACTGACCAGGAGAATTGGGACAAGTTTTCATGTATTTTTCTTGATGACCTTAGGAGAATTTGGGGACTAAAACCCAAAAATAGTCCCTGAGAACCAGAAAGTGTAAGCTGGGAAGGTAGGATTTTGAGACCAGCTGAGTCTCTAAGAGGTCATCAAATCTGCCTGCTCCCCAACTTTACAGAAAAGGACACTGAGGCTAGGGAGGTGAGGTGATGGGTCAGGGGTGGAGTCAGGTCTAGAACTCAGGCTCCCCAGAGCTGAGCAGACACCAAGCTCCCTGCAGTGAAACTTGCAGTGATCAGTGTAGGGGTACATTTCTTTTCTTTTTTTTTTTACTTCCATAAGTAAAATCTCTTAAGGAGGAACATTTCCTGATCTGGATTGCTGAAACTTTCTCTCGACCACAGAGAGGGGCTCCAGGTTTCATGGGCCTGTAAGTCTCTGCCAGAGGATAGTCCATCATGGCTGGAAGGGGCTCCCTGGAGGGACAAAGACTCCCGAGACAACCCCCCAACAGCAGGCCAAGAATTCTTTCCTATAACCCAAAGCCAGGGAGACAGACACCTGCTCGGGCCTCAGCTGTCAGGCCCAGGACATATACCTGGCTCCCGGCATAAAAAACCCAGCCCAGAGAGTGGACCCAGGGTTGCAGGAGGTGAGCGTTGGTGATGGACCAGAGGCCGTCTGATGGGACCTTCCTCGGAAGCCCCGGCCCTGCTCCTCACCAGTTTTCAATAGGATTGAGCCTGTCTCATCCAACTTCAACTACCCAAGAGTTCTCTGGGAAGACACGCTCATCTCCTCTCTGCCTCTGCCCAGGTCGGTTAATATTCAATAGAAGTTACATTAGGTCCCCGACCCTGCTAATACTGAGCAAACATTTGGAAAACATCATTCCGTGACTGAGCTCGCGCCGGGCACTGATAACGCCCGCCTAACCTTGAGGAGCCCTATCCGCAGCTGCTGACAGCAGCCCTTTCATTCCGCCCGCCGGCCACTCGGCGCCCTGGTGGGTGGGTGTGGGCGCTGGCAGGAGGCTGCCGTGGGAGGGGTGTGGGGGAGCGGGGCGGACGGCCCAGGCAGGGGAGCTGTGCTCTGAGCTGGCCCTATGCACGTGGTGGGTCTGAGAGGAGGTGGCTTGCCTCTGGACTTCTGGTCTATCCCACTGACTCCCTGGCTCAGTGCAGATGATTCAACTTTAATTCTCTGATTTTAACAATGTGTCAACATCAAGAGAAAGTTGAATCGCGGGGGTGTCAATGTTCCCTGGAGAAATAGGGTGCTTATAAGAATGAGAGTTTATGACTAGGCTTGGTGCCTCACACCTGTAATCCCAGCATTTTGTGAGGCTGAGAGGATCACTTGAAGCGAGGAGTTCGAGACCAGCCTGGGCAACATAATGAGACCTTCGTCTGTCTCAAAAAAAAAAAAAAAAATTATCCAGGCATGATGGCACACACCTGTAATCCCAGCTATTCGGGAGACTGAGGCAGGGGGATCACTTGAGCCCAGGAGGTTGAGGCTGCAGTGAGCTATGATCGTGCCACTGCACTCCAGCCTGGGCAACAGAATGAGACCCTGTCACAGAAAAAAAAAAAATTAGTTAGAGCTTGTCTCCTCCAATGCCTTTTTCTCTCATTGCACAAGTATTTATTGAGCACCTACTGTGTACCAGGCTCTGTTCTGTTGGCTGGGACTATAGCAGTGAACTAAAGGGATGAAGATTTGGCCTTCTGAAGCTTTCCTTCTCAGAAAGAGACAGATAGTAAAGGAAGTAACAAATAATGCTACAGTAAGTCCCTTAAGAAAAACAAACCACAGTGGGGCAGGGCTGGGGTTGGGGGTATGCTGTGTTAGACAGGGTGGCCGGAGAGGGTGTCTGAAAGGTGACATTTGCACAGAGGCAGGAGTAAAATGAAGACACAGCAATGCTGTGCGGGAAAGGGAATCCCAGGCGGTGACAACAGCAGCCCAGCAACATACGGATGTATCCAGGCGGGAGGCGGGTTTTCCCGGACAGAGTGAGTGGGAGGAAGCCAGTAAAAGGGGCAATCAGAGAGGAGAGGAAGGGCCTTGAGGACTTGTGAGTTGGAAGGCACTGGTTTTGAGCAGCAGGGGACATGACTTGGATGTGTTTGAACGGATCCCTCTGTCTCTGAGAGGAACGCAGACTGCAGGTGCAAGGCAGAAGCAGAGCCTGGGAGGAGGTGGATCTAATCCGAGAGACGGTAGACGGGAGCAGGGAGGGAGCAGCGGGTCTGTTTGTCATGATTACTGACAGCACTGGAGTGTGAGGGGAAGCTGAGGAAGGCGCCCAGGCTCGAGGGACTGGAAAAACCAACCCGCCGGTCGCTGAGATGAGACACAGTGCAGGGAGCTGGCTGGGAGAGAAATGCCTATGGGTAGGGAAACTGAGGCCCAGAGAGAGGCTGTGATTGCCACCGGCACCCAGAGTGGCAGGTTCCAGACAGGAAGCCAGACCTCATGCAGCTTCATGCTCCCTCCTTTCCAAATCAGCCAAGCCTCATTCCACAGTGAAGCCTCTTGGACTCCAAGGGCTATCCCGTCCGCTGTCGGGACGGTAGAAGCATCATCTTCTATCTCAGGCCAGGACTGACCCAGATGGGGGCGGGCAGTGGAGCCTGGGGCCCCAGTGGACAGTGCCCGGAACAGAGCAGTGGTGGGAGGAGGGAAGCGCCTGGCCTTGCTGACGCTGGGAAGGTTAGTGTGGAGTACCGGCAGCTTCTGCGGATGGACAAAACCATCAGGGCAGTTGAAGCACCCAGATCCCCTTGTTCAGAAATCCCCAGGCTGGTTCCGTGTCACCCAGAGCAATTTGTTTTGCTTGCTTTAATCACTTTGATTTGGAAAGAAAGGGACCGTTTTGTCGACCAGAGCTTGAACATCTTTAATCTGGTCAATCCCCTCCTCAATGCTCATGACCCATTTTAAGCCCATAGCTGAGTCATCACTGGCTTGCATGCTGGTGATGATGGGTGGATCACTCCTGTAGCCTCTCCATTGTGTGGGGGGCAGTTCGGATATGCAGAAAGTTCTTCCACCAGCTGAGTTAGAGCCCATCTCCCCTCATTCCACATGCTGATGTGGGTCTGTCTTCTGGATGTCCCCGCCTCCTGCTCCCACTCCTCATCAGTCATAGACACCCCCACCCCCTCACTCCACCCCTGCTCTTCCTGCTCACCTCTCTCTGCCTCCTCACAGCCGTTCAAAATGAGCGGGACCGGATCAGCACTAGAAGGTCAAGCTATGAGGACAGCAGCCTGCCCTCCATCAACGCGCTCCTGCAGGCAGAGGTCCTGTCCCGACAGGTACAGAGTGACCCTGACGCCCACCAAGGGATCCCCCACACTACAGAGGAGCTTACCTCCTCCACCTCCGTTCTCTCCAGCCAGGCCCTGGAGCGGCTGATGGGAGGGCCCTCAGATATTACAGAAGGGATACTGAGTCCAGTGTCACATGGCCCAGTTAGCAGCAAAGGCGGAACTCGAACCTGGCACCCTGGGAGTACTTTCTAGTTCATTGTGCTGCCTGACTCCCACAGGCCAAGCAGAGTCTCTGTGTTCACTGGGGGCCTGCAATCAGCTCAACCCCAAGAGAACAGAGCAGTGGGTCAGTGCACAGAGGTGGCAAAGTAGGGCCCAGCCCATCCCTTGCAGTGTGACCTTGGGCAAGTCACAGCACCTCTCTGAGCCATGGTTGCCTCATTGTCAGATAAGGATGACCATTTTTTGCCCTGCTTCTCCTCTAAGGCTGAGAGACTCCTTGGAGCTCTAAAGCTGATAGAGGAGGAGGCAGGGGGCAGGTAGCAAGTGAAGACCCAGAGGGAGCCCCTCTCCCTCATCCCTGCCTCCTCCCTCCTGCCGTTTTTCCCTCGAGCTTCCTTCAGAGCTGGATGGTACCCACTGTCCAGCTACCTCCCAACACCTGACTCAGGGAGGGGGCTCTGTTCCGGGGCAGAGAGTGCAGGAGGGCCCAAACATCTCCAGCATTTTCTTCCCTGTATCTCTTGAAGATCACCTCCCCCGTCTCCGGGATCAATGGCGACATTCGAGCTAAGAAGATTGCCAGCATCGCAGACGTGTGTGAGTCCATGAAGGAGCAGCTGCTGGTTCTCGTCGAGTGGGCCAAGTACATCCCAGCTTTCTGCGAGCTCCCCCTAGACGACCAGGTGAGGGTGGGCATGAATGGTGGGCAGTAGCAGGCACCAGGCAGCCAGGATGCACTAGCTCACCTGGGATATGGCTGCGGACTGGCTTGATTTTATTTAACAAAATGCGTAGTGCACATGTGTCTGAAACTTGAAATCACCTTGCAATATTAACTCAGTTAGCTCCTCCAACAACTCTGTGAGGGAGATACGAAAGGACTATTATTACAGCCATCTCATAGGTGAGGAAACTGGGGCACAGAGAGGTTAAGTAACCTGCTCAAGGTCACTAGCTACTGTCCAGCACAGCTGGGATTAGAACCCCAGCAGGGAAGCTCCAAAGTCCAAGCTCCTAAACCATTGCACCACGTGGCGCTCCCAGGGGGATGTTGACAGGGACCCTGGGACAGGGATCAGGAGATTTTAGTTTAAGCTCTGGCTCTAAGACTGGTTGTCAGGGTAATCCTGGGCAGATTACTTCTCTCTCAGCCTCGCTGTTCTCTTATCTGTCAAGTGGAAATGATAATAGCCACTTCAGAGTGTGGTTGGGAGGACTGAGGACATTACTGCCTGAAAAGTGCAAAATTCAGGCAATGGAGCGAGCTGCACCGTGGCTGGACCACAGCCGCTCTCCCTAACATGGTTTCTGCACCGTGGCTGGACCACAGCCGCTCTCCCTAAACATGGTTTCTGCACCGTGGCTGGACCACAGCTGCTCTCCCTAAACATGGTTTCTGCACCGTGGCTGGACCACAGCCGCTCTCCCTAAACATGGTTTCTGCACCGTGGCTGGACCACAGCTGCTCTCCCTAAACATGGTTTCTGCACCGTGGCTGGACCACAGCCGCTCTCCCTAAACATGGTTTCTGCACCGTGGCTGGACCACAGCCGCTCTCCCTAACATGGTTTCTGCACCGTGGCTGGACCACAGCCGCTCTCCCTAAACATGGTTTCTGCACCGTGGCTGGACCACAGCCGCTCTCCCTAAACATGGTTTCTGCACCGTGGCTGGACCACAGCCGCTCTCCCTAAACATGGTTTCTGCACCGTGGCTGGACCACAGCCGCTCTCCCTAACATGGTTTCTGCACCGTGGCTGGACCACAGCCGCTCTCCCTAAACATGGTTTCTGCACCGTGGCTGGACCACAGCCGCTCTCCCTAAACATGGTTTCTGCACCGTGGCTGGACCACAGCCGCTCTCCCTAAACATGGTTTCTGCACTGTGGCTGGACCACAGCCGCTCTCCCTAAACATGGTTTCTGCACCGTGGCTGGACCACAGCCGCTCTCCCTAACATGGTTTCTGCACCGTGGCTGGACCACAGCCGCTCTCCCTAAACATGGTTTCTGCACCGTGGCTGGACCACAGCCGCTCTCCCTAACATGGTTTCTGCACCGTGGCTGGACCACAGCCGCTCTCCCTAACATGGTTTCTGCACCGTGGCTGGACCACAGCTGCTCTCCCTAACATGGTTTCTGCACCGTGGCTGGACCACAGCTGCTCTCCCTAAACATGGTTTCTTCCTTGTTTCCCAACGAAGCAGTTGAACTCCACGTCATAGTTCCCACCGTACGTTTTTTTTTTTTTGGAATACTAAGCCATCCCTGGGGGAAGAAAGGGTTGAAGGAAGGTGGCGTGTGTCTGGGAACAGGTGAATGTCAGAGACGCCACCTCCGAAGCTCCTGCTCAGAGCATGCCTTGTTTCCTGCTGGAAAGAGGAACTGGGCTGGGCCACCTCCCCAGCTTCAAAGAAAGCCTCTGGTGCTTTCGCTTACCCATTTTTCACCTTTGCATAAGACACTGACAACGCATATCGGCCTGTGAAAGCTTCTGAGAAACCTCATCCAGGCAGTTGTTTGCCTTCACAGATACAAGGGCTTCCCAAACTCCCAAGGCCCCACGATTCTCCTGGAACATCTATTAAACCTGCATATTGGGACATTGTGAAAACACTGGTTTGGCTGGTCCCCAGCCTCATGCAGAGGCTGGACACGAGGACCTCTTCGATGACTCCTCCCTCCGTTAGCAGAATCGACGGGGCAAGGATCTTGGACAATCCGCCCCTACCCTCTCCCCTGCTCCTTGTGCTCTGGCCCCAATCCCCTCTGCTGGAGTCTCCACATTAATGTTTAATCCCTCCTGTTCCTTCCCAGGGGCTTAGCAGGGCAACAAGATACCCCCAACTTGAACAATTGTTAACCTCGATTTCCCACCCAAACATCCCTGGCTGGGGCTCAGAGCATTCTCAGAGAGCAATGATGGGTGGCCAATAGCACAGGACAATCATTAACACACCACCCTGACCTCCCGGCCCACCCCCAGAACAGCTGCCATATCAAGGGGTTGAACCTGGGACCAGAAGGATTCTCAGCTCCCCATTCCTGGTGTATGAGGAGCCCAGCTTGCCCAATGCAGGTGGGGCACCCCGGGGAAAGTCAGGGGCATTATCCTCCAAAGGGCCCCCCAATTCTGTCGACATTGCCCCAGGAACTAGATTCCCAGTTTTTGTGCTTCTTGGGGCCGGATACAATTGGAGAATGAGACTGGGGCTTAGAGAGATAAAGCAATTTGCCTGATGTCACAGAGCAAGTTAGCCCCAGAGCTGGGACTCAAATCCAGGTCTTCTGCCTCACGGTGTGAAGGCCGCTGGGGTGACTGATGGCAGCCTTGCACAGTCAGCATCCTTGGCCTCCCTCCATGCCAGTCATGGAAAGTGGGTTTCACCTCCCAGGCACTTTCCTCTTTCTCTGTTTTCCTCACAAGGTTCTATCCATGGAAAATAGAAGGCGAGAGGACAAGTGGCTGCCCAGGAGCAGCTAGAGCAAGAGAGGAAGTCAGCTTGTTTGCTCATTCATTCATTCATTCATTCATTTTCCCTTTCCTTCCTTCCTTCATTCAAATATTTATTGGAGGCTTATTTTGTGTCAAGTACCTTCAGGCAAATCTCTTTTTCCCTCTAACAATTTCACCTCCTTAGAGGCCTTCTCTGACCTACCCATCTGATGTAGCCATTGCTGCCATCATCCTTTCTACTCCCCTCCCTCCCTTCTTCCCTTGCTCCCACCTTTCCTCCTTCTTTACTTCCTCCCTCTCCTTCCTTCTTTCCTTTGTGTTGTGATCATCCTCTGTCCTGTGCACTTACTTGTTTTAAACTATCTGTTCCACCTTCTTCCCTATAAAATGTGAGTTCCATGAGACTAGAGACCTTGTCTCTCATTTTTAAACATTGTGCCTCCATTGTCTTAAAAACTCTCCGGGATTTAGTAGGCATTTAGGATTTGATAACTGAAAGAATGAACAATCAAATGAATGAACAAGCAAAGGCTTTTTTTTTTTTTTGAGACGGAGTTTCACTCTTGTTACCCAGGCTGGAGTGCAATGGTGTGATCTCGGCTCACCGCAACCTCCGCCTCCTGGGTTCAGGCAATTCTCCTGCCTCAGCCTCCCGAGTAGCTGGGATTACAGGCACGCACCACCGTGCCCAGCTAATTTTTTGTATTTTTAGTAGAGACGGGGTTTCACCATGTTGACCAGGATGGTCTCGATCTGTTGACCTCGTGATCTACCTGCCTTGGCCTCCCAAAGTGCTGGGATTACAGGCTTGAGCCACCGCGCCCGGCCAACAAAGGCATTTTAACCTTATGGTTTGGTTTGCTATAGAACTTTCAGACTCCCTAACCCAACCCTGAAGATAAGATCCTTGAGGCTACCGGCCTGGCGCGGTTTTGTGCCAGGCCATCCTTTGGTCCTTAGGCAAGCACTAAAGCAGATAGCTCTCAGTGGGCTGGCTCTGTCCTTCCGTGAGCTTGCTGGGCCCCTACCTATGACTCCAGTCTTTGAAGTCTTGCCTTGTACATTGAGCTGATTCTCTGCCAGGGACCAGTGCTCATACCTTTGCCTTGAGAAGGACCAGCCCTGAGACCCAACATCCACATCCATGTTCTTGTAATGCCCTCTCTGCATCCTGGAGTCCTGCAGCGTCCAGTCTGCCAGACCAGTGATTTCCCCAACAGAATTATGCTTCTGAGTCAACGAGGAGTTTACTAAACACAGATCCCTGGACCCAACCTAAACATATAGAATCAGGATCAGAATCTCAGGGCCTAAGAATCTGTATTTTCAGGCCGGGCACAGTGGCTCACACCTGTAATCCCAGCACGTTAGGAGGCCAAGTTGGGTGGATCACCTGAGGTCAGGAGTTTGAGATCAGCCTGGCCAATATAGTGAAACCCTGTCTCTACTGAAAATAAAAATAAAATTAAAATGGCCAGGCATGGTGGCGCACACCTGTAGTCTCAGCTACTCAGGAGGCTTAGGCACAAGAATCACTTGAACCTGGGAGGCGAAGTTTGCAGTAAGCCGAGATCACACCACTGAACTCTAGCCTGGTCAACGGAGTGAGACTCTGTCTCAAAAAAAAAAAAAAAAGAAAGAAACTGTATTTTTACAAAGCACTCTTCATAATTCCCCATAGCTGGCCCATGGGTGGGAATTTGGGAGCCACAGTTTTGGAACTTTTTGGGATCATAGATCCTTTTGAGAATCTCAAAAAAAGAGAAAAAAGCACACAGAATGTTGCTTACCCTTTCATCAGGCACACAGAAGGCGGCCAGCGTGAAGCAGCCTCTTGCCCAAGGACACGGTAGTTCAAGGCAGAGTCAGCGTGAGGTCTCTCTGCTCTGAGCACACATTCTTTCCCCTCCCAGGTTTCTGCAGAATCCCTTCCAGGTTTCTAGTTTTATGGGCAATCATTTTATGATGCCCATTTCACAGTTCAGGCAGGTAGAGGCAGAAGGGAGCATTAAGCTGACTTGCCCAAAGTCATTGAGTTAGCTACAGGCAGCCTTCCCAAGGGTGCAGATGCCAGACATGGTTCCTTTTCTCTTTCAGGTGGCCCTGCTCAGAGCCCATGCTGGTGAACACCTGCTGCTCGGAGCCACCAAGCGATCCATGGTGTTCAAGGATGTGCTGCTCCTAGGTGAGGAGGGTGCATGCCCTGGCCAGGGCTTTGTGGAGGACGTGCCTAGTATGGCACTCACCCAGCAAGGAGATTCACATGGTGGCATGCAGGGGCAAGGGAGACTGGTCAGGAGTGGCCCTGTCCTCAGGCTTGCAAATGGAGGCTTCCAGGACTCAGTTCTCAACTGGATACGCCACTCAGATGCAAGGAAACATGGACCCAAGGCATCAAATTCCCAGCATTAAAGTTGGAGCACAAGCAGGGTTGTCCCTGGAATTACCTGTGCATCTTTTTTTTTAAGACAGTCCTGCTCTATCACTCAGGCTGGAGTGCAATGGTGTGATCTCAGCTCACTTCAGCCTCCGCCTGCCGGGTTCAAGCAATTCTCCTGCCTCACCCTCTGGAGTAGCTGGGACTACAGGCACATACCACCACACCCAGCAAATTTTTGTATTTTTAGTAGAGACAGGGTTTCACCATGTTATCCAGGCTGGTCTTAAACTCCTGGCCTCAAATGATCCACCTACCTCAGTCTCCCAAAGTGGTGAGATTACAGGCATGAGCCACCGCACCCAGCCTACATGTGCATTCTGATGTTCTTTCTGGAGTAGGAGCAAGAGGTGGTCAGGAACGGCACAAAGCCCCAGCCCATGTCACCTGTGCCTTCATGGCATATTTATTATTTGAAATGCTTGTACGGCACACACTGTGTGCCAGAGACTGCGCTCACTGCTTTGCAAACACTACCTATTTTAATACAACAGTGCTATGTGGGAAGCTCCATTATTCATCCTCATCTTAGAGATAAGAAAACTGAGGCACAGAGAGGCTGAGTAACTTATCCAAATATACCCAGCTATCAGGGACAGAGCCGTTTAATCAGGGCAGTACACTTCCAGAATCTGGTCCCTTCACCTTGATGCTTTGGTGCCCACCAGGTCGCCTTTGAATGTCATCGATCTTGTGAATCATGTTAGTAAATGGAGCTTGGGTCATGTGAAAGGTGTCCTAGAAAGCCAAGCTCCAAGCTCAGCTGGATGACTCGAGGCAGCTTACCTTCTGAATCTGGGCCTCAGCTTCCTTACCTGTGAAATGGGAGTGATCATCCCCACAGGGCCTCCTCCCATAGGCACCAGCTATCTTCCGAACTTAAAAGCCAAAACTAGAGGAGAGGGCTCAACCCAAGGTGACTTCCCATCCTCTCTCCCTCCCAACCTTCCAGGCAATGACTATATCGTCCCTCGGCACTGCCCGGAGCTGGCGGAGATGAGCCGGGTGTCCATGCGCATTCTTGACGAGTTGGTGTTGCCCTTCCAGGAGCTGCAGATTGATGACAATGAGTATGCCTACCTCAAAGCCATCATCTTCTTTGACCCAGGTACACTGCACACCTCCTAAGCCATCCCTGACTCTCTCTCCAGAACCCTCTGTCACACTTCTCCTATTGGGTTATGTACACTGAGTTCACAACCTCATTTCCTGTTAATGACAGCCAGGAGGGGCTGTTTTCATTTAACGCATCAGGCAAGGCAAGATTCAAAGGGAGGATATGACCAGGCATGGTGGCTCATGCCTATAATCCAGCACTTTGGGAAGCTGAGGTGGGTGGATCACCTGAGGTCAGGGGCTCAAGACCAGCCTGGCCCTCATCACAGGATGAAGATAAAGCATTCCTACCCTCTCCTGTGGCTCTCAGCTCTCCTCTCCCCATACTGTTGACTGACTTTTGCATCTGCATTTATACAGAATGCCTTTGTCATCAGTCTTTGTGCAAAACCTGCTTTTGTTTCCTACTGTCAAAGGTGCCTGAACCCCGGAGGTTTGCTTGCCTTCCCTGCTTACATGTTAGAGGGGACCTACTGTGTGCCAGGCACTGCCCTTCACACCGCAGATAGATTACCTCTAGTAATAATAGTGATGAAAAGGCCAGGTGTGGTGGCTCACACCTGTAATCCCAGCACTTTGGGAGACTGAAATGGGCAGGTCACCTGAGGTCAGGAGTTCAAGACCAGTCTGGTAAATGTGGTGAAACCCTGTCTCTACTAAAAATACAAAAATTAGCCAGGTGTGGTAGTGGTTGCCTATAATCCCAGCTACTCCAGAGGCTGAGGCAGGAGGATCGCTTGAACCTGGGAGGCGAAGGTCGCAGTGAGCCAAGATCACACCACTGCACTCCAGCCTGGGCCACAAGAGTGAAACTCTGTCTCAAAAAGAAAAAAAGAAAAAAAAAAAAATATATATATATATATATAGTGATAAAGAGGAAGATGAGCAGCATGTATTGAATGCTCACTAAAGAGCTGTTTTTAAACACTTTCTGTGGATTATCAACATGATACCTGTGAAGTAGAAATTTTTATCTCCACTTTATAGATAAGGAAACTGAGGCATGGTTAACTTGCCCAAGGTCACATAACCAGAAAATGGCAGAGCTTGAACTTCAGACCACCTATCGATCCCAGTTTCTCTCTCTCTCAAGCCCACGTTCTTACCCACCACATGCTATCCCACACTTCCCAGAAGGTGAGATTTCTAGTTCTGGTTCCTTCCAGAGCCTGGCCCAGCCTGTATCCTCTATAGTGCTCAGCAGGAGGCTGGACTGGCAGAATTGCTCTGCAAAATGGGCATGATCACTGATGCTGAGTCAGAGGCAGCTGCCTCCAGCAATTTGAAGAGGTGGGAACCTAGTTCAAGGCCTGGCATGCAGGAGATGCTCAATAAATGTTTGTGGACTGAATGAAATAATGAACAAACATGATTCAGTGGAGAGAGCCCACTAAAAATGTGGGTGAATGTTCCTTCTGCCACTTCCTTTGTCCATGAAAGAGGAAATAAATGCATTGCCTCAATGAAGCTTGAGATTAAATATTGGATGACCTCTTAAGTTCCCTTCTAGGCTAAGGATCTAGAATTTAGTCACTGATTTTTTTTTTATTCATTCTTCCACCCATCTAAATATATATATTTATATGCATAAATATATATTACATTTATATAAATATATATATATATATATACACACACGCATACACATATTGTCTGTCACCCAAGCTGGAGTGCAGTGGCACCATCTCAGCTCACTGCAACCTCCACCTCCCAGTTTCAAGCAATTCTCCCACCTCAGCCTCCAGAGTAGCTGGGATTACAGGCATGTGTCACCACACCAGGCTAATTTGTGTATTATTAGTAGAGATGGGGTTTCACCATGTTGGCCAGGCTGGTCTCAAATTCCTGGCCTCAAGTAATCTTCCTGCCTTGGCCTCCCAAAGTGCTGGGATTGCAGGCATGAGCCACTGAGTCTGGCCCTATTCGATAAATATTGATTATGCATGGTACTAGGTGGTGGGTTTAAAATGGCAAAGGCGTGGTGGCTCACACCTGTAATCCCAGCACTTTGGGAGGCTAAGGCAGGCAGATTACTTGAGGTCAGGAGTCTGAGGCCAGCATGGCCAACGTGGTGAAACCCCATCTCTACTAAAATACAAAAATTATCTGGGCGTGGTGGCATGTGCCTATAATCCCATCTGCTCAGGAGGCTAAGGCAAGAGAACCACTTGAGCCCAAGCGGGGGTTGCAGTGAGCTGAGATCGCACCACTGTACTCAAGCCTGGGTGACAGAGGGACAAGGGACACTCAGTCTAAAATAAAATAAAACAAAACATAAAATGGCAAATAAGCCATATGCCTGCCCACAGTTGGACGGCACAACAATTACATCCTGTGTGGTCAGCAGTGATGGAGGAGCCACAGAGATTTGGAAACAGGAGGAACACAGGATACAGACATAGGAGGGTAGAATGGAGACTTCCTGGAGGAGGTGAAAACTAACTTGAGTCCCTAAGATGATAGGAAACAGGGATCAGGGAAGGGGAGCCTGTTCTAACACAGTAGAAGCAGCAAATGCTTGAGGTCGGAATAAGGGAACCTCAACTGTGGCCAATAACCCCAAGTTCCCGTCATGGCTCTGCAAACAGCCACTGGCTGTGTGACACAGGACAAGTCCTTTCCTTGCACCGTGACTCAGTTCCCCATGTGTAAGATGAGGAGCTTGCTAGGTACTTGCTGGACACATTCCTCAAGTCTCACCCTCCATCTCCTACTCCCCACCCTTCTGGCTTAGTCCCTTAGGAAATGTGGCAGGAATCTTTTTCTGTCTGTGTCTAGGAAATCACAGTTCATGCTGGCGTACCCTGATTGTTGAGGTCCCTGAATCCTTGTGCCCACCCTGCTGAAGACTCATTGTGTGACACAAGTCAGGGGACATCTGGGTCTTGACTCCCTGCTGCCCTCCCTTGCCCACCCCCTTCCATTGTAGATGCCAAGGGGCTGAGTGATCCAGGGAAGATCAAGAGGCTTCGTTCCCAGGTGCAGGTGAGCTTGGAGGACTACATCAACGACCGCCAGTATGACTCGCGCGGCCGCTTTGGCGAGCTGCTGCTGCTGCTGCCCACCCTGCAGAGCATCACCTGGCAGATGATCGAGCAGATCCAGTTCATCAAGCTCTTCGGCATGGCCAAGATTGACAACCTGCTGCAGGAGATGCTATTGGGAGGTCCGTGCCAGGCCCAGGAGGGGCGGGGTTGCAGCGGGGACTCTCCAGGATACGGGCCTCACACAGACCTGAGCTCACCCCTCAGCTCCTTGGCTTCCCCACTGTGTGGCTTTTGGAGAGTTGCTTAACCTGTCTGTGCCTCAGTTTTCTTGTCAGAAAAAATGGCAACAAGGACAATGGTCTGTTCGTTCAGGTGCCGAGAGCCTTGCACATGCCAATCACTGTTCCAAGTGCTGGCAATTCAGCAAAGAACATCTTTGCCCTCTGGGAGGTTTTGTGTGTGTGTGTGTGTGTGTGTGTGTGTGTATGTATGGCGTTTCTGTGTATATGCGTGTATGGCCATGCATATGTGTATAAAGGCTCACATTTTATGATTTTGAAATAAACAGGTAATATGAAGGAGTTTAACTGAAAAGGGATCCTCTTTAGATAGGGGAAGCCAAAGAAGACCTCTCTGAAGTGGTGACTCTTGTGCTGAGACCTAATGGCTGAAAGGAAATGGGAGGCTTAAAACCCAAGAGAGGAATATTCCAAGAAGAAGGAACTATGTCAAGACCCCTAGAGTTGAGAGAGCTGTGTGTTTGAGAAAGAAGGGCAGGGCTGTGAGATGGAAAAGATGTATGAGGTGAAGATGGAGATTGTGCAGAAACCAAATCAAAAACATACAGCTACATTTGGATTTTATTCTCATTGCAACTATTGTAAGGAGAGTGAAAAACAGACTAGTTATTTTATTTGTTTATTTATTTTTTGAGACAGAGTTTTCCTCTATCATCCAGGCTGACGGGCGGTGGCGCCACCTCAGCTCACTGCAACCTCCACCTCCCAGGTTCAAGCAATTCTCCTGCCTCAGCCTCCCAAGTAGCTGGGATTACAGGTGGCCGCCACCACACCTGGCTAATTTTTTTATATTTTCAGCAGAGACAGGGTTTCCCCATATTGGCCAAGATGGTCTCTAACTCCTGACCTCAAGTGATCGTCGTGCTGGAATTAGAGGTGTGAGCCACCACGCCTGGTCCAGACTTACATTTTAAGCAAACCACTCTGACTGTTGGGTAGAGAGTGAATTGCAGAGATTCCTGAGAATGTCACTCTCTCCAATCATGTGATGGATGATGGAGGCTTAAACCATGGGAATGGAGCAGTGATGATAAACCTGATTGTCTATTTGGAGGAAGAGCCCACCCACAGGATTTGCTGATTGATCAGATGTAAGGCGTAAGAGGAAGAGAAAGAGTCAAGGTCAAAGTCTACATTTTTGCTTTGAGTAGCAGGAATGATGATGGAGTAATTTATTGAGATGAGGAGGACAGAATAAACACATTGAGGCTGGGTCTGGGGGTGGTAGTGAGGGGTGACCCCAGAGATCCATTGTGGACTTTCTTTTCTTTTTGAGACGAGACCTTGCTCTGTCACCCAGGCTGGAGTGCTGTGGCTCAATCATAGCTCGCTGCAGCTTCAACCTTCCAGGCTCAAGACAGCCTTCCACCCCAGCCTTTCAAATGGCTGGGACTACAGGTGTGTGCCACCATACGCAGCTAATTTTTCATTTTTATTTTTTGTAGAGGTGGGGTCTCACTCTGTTGCCCAGGCTGGTCTTGAACACCTGGCCTTAAGCAACCCTTCTGACTTGGCCTCTCAAAGTGCTGGGATTACCAGCATGTGAGCCCTCATGCCCAGCCTCATTGTGGACTTTCATCAAGCATGAGATGACTGTTACAGCTCCAAGTTATTGAGGAGGCTGTTGAATGTACGAGTCTGTTGCTCAAGCACAAGATTAAAGGCAGCTCTGTGGAGTCAGGGGGAAGATGGAGCCATGGAGGGAAGGGAAGAAGACTGGCCAGAGGGGTAGGAGAAAACCAGCGCAATTCCAGAATCCAAAAGAAGAGCATGTTTGAAGGAGGACAGTGTTTAATGGTGTTAAACTCTACAGAGAGACAGAAGGAGGGAGGAAAGGAGAGGTGAAGGGAGGAGGGAAAGAGAAAGAGTCCATTGGATTGGCAGCTGGAGGCTCTTGGCAATTGTGTTGAAAGCAGTGTCAGAGGGCTAGGAGAGTGGAAACCAGATTGGAGCGTGCTTCAAAGCAAGTGAGTGGGAAAGTGGAGATAGAGTAGACAACCCTTAGAAATGGTTTGACTACCAAGGGGAGTATGAAGGAGTTAGGATGACTGCAAGGGAGTGATTAGAATGATAGATCATGGAGTCTTAGCTGCACTCAAAGAAAAATAGATAGAGGCCGGGCGAGGTGGCTCACATCTGTAATCCTAGCATTTTGGGAGGCTTAGGCGGGTGGGTCACTTGAGGCTAAGAGTTCAAGACCAGCCTAGCCAGCATAGCGAAATCCCATCTCTACTAAAAATTAAAAAAAAAATTAACCAGGCATGGTGGCATATGCCTGGAACCCCAGCTACTCAGGAGGCGGAGGCAGGAGAATCACTTGAACCTGGGAGGAGGAAGTTGCAGTGAGCCGAGATCGCGCCACTGCACTCCAGCCTGGGCGACAGAGGGAGACTTCGTCTCAACAACAACAAAAAGGATGGGGCGATAGTGAAAAGTGGGTGCCAGTGGATTGACAGCCTCAGTAGGGCTGAAGAATTTTTGCAGTGATGGTGCTAAGGGAGCTGTAAGGACAGAAGGTGAAGTCAAAGTGGGGATCTTGAATTGGAGGTTTTGGAGGCGTTTCACTGACTGCAGATGACAAGGCGAGGGCAAGGTTTCTCAACGTGGGTCCGATTGATACTTGGAACTGGATAATCCTTTGTTGCATGGGGCTGTCCTGTGCACTGTTCAGCTGCATCTCTGTCCTGTACCCATAAGGTGCCAGCAGCACTTCTCCATTGGTGACAACCAAAAATGTCTTCAGATGTTGTCAAATGTCTCCTGATGGGCCAGAATCATCCCCAGTCGGGAACCATTGTCATGTGATAGCTCATTTCATTCTCACTTTGACCCTGTGAACATGGGGTTAGTATGAATCAGGTGTCATTGGGATCAGGATCAGGAGCCTGTGGTCTGTTGCCAGATAAACTTGAGTAAGATCTCTCTGGACTCAGTTGTCTCATCTGTAGAATGGGCTAATAACAGTAACCATCCTGCAGGACTGCTGTGAGGATTAAATTATGTACAACATGAAAAGTGCTATACAACAGTGCCTGGCACATAATAATTGTTAATTATCAATAATTGTTAGTTATCACTGAAATAGATGTACTGTAGAGATCTCTTGCAAGCATTGAAATTCCATCATTGTCGTATTACTCACCATAGGCTATTATTAAACCATACCCCATCTGTTATTTTTACTCCCTGACATGTGTTTGAAGTAGTTACTGTGTTCCAATCTGCCAGGCCCTCAAAGTAAGAAGAAAAATACATCTGAAATTGTAATGCTGATAGACAGAAGAAGTGATTGTTGCTAAAAGTTGTGTTACAGATAAATTACTATGAGAAATGCAAGGAAGGAGAATGAGAAATCCAAGGAAGGAGAATGAGGAGAATCAGAAGAGGCTTCTAAAGGGAGGACATATATGAACTGAGATTTGGGCTTATGGACATGGAGTGGGGGTGGGGTGGAAAAAACATCTCTGACGGAAGCACCAATGTGAGCAGAAGCATAGAGACAGGAAAACACAGGGTACACATAGATGCTGTAAGTAGGTCAGCTTGGCTGCAGCAGAGATGTGGGGGGATGAGGCTGAAAGGTGAGGCAGGACCAAACGGTTGAAGGATTTGCATGCCAAGGAGCTGTGAGAGCCATTGTTTACATCTATTAAGCTGCTATGTGACCAATACCCTACTCATTCGAACATTTAAGTGATCTCAGAGCTTCCTTATATGCACCTTGTTTCTTTCAACTCGCTTTTGTTCTTTTGGTTTGTTGAGTTCTCTTAACACCCTCATTAAGGCTCGGATGGGAATGGTACAGCCTGTTTACTAACCCAGGAATAGGTACCCAACAGGCACTGCCAATATTGGATGGGCAGGTTGATTGGCCATACCTGAGGAAGATGACGTCCCAAGGCCTGGGGTCTGCATCCCAGACGCTCCATCCTGATTGATCTTCTCTACCTACAGGGTCCTCCAGTGATGCACCCCATGCCCACCACCCCCTGCACCCTCACCTGATGCAGGAACACATGGGAACCAACGTCATTGTTGCCAACACGATGCCCACTCACCTCAGCAACGGACAGATGTGTGAGTGGCCCCGGCCCAGGGGGCAGGCAGGTGGGCAACTGGGGCTCTACCCTGCAAAAGGTGAGGATGGGGCTTAAGAGAGGAGGCAGAAGAAGGCGGAGTCTAGAAGGTAGAACCAGGATGCAACCGTTTTCTAGGCTCCAGGGTAGGGAATGAAGGGCAAGTCTGTCCGTTTGTTGGGGCTGTTTATTCAGTAAGGTGATTGACAGCCTTTATTGGGATGAGGTAATCCACTGGATGAGGTAGTCCATTGGGCGAAGGTGTTCTGGAGTGAGAATTCCATTAGCTGACATGGTCCATTAGGTAAAAGTGTTCACTGCAATAACGCTGCTCACCCATTGGGTCAGGATGTCTGCTGGGCTAGACCATCCTCTGAAACCTCCAAAGTGCAAACTTGTCACTGGGCAAAACTCTTCAAAGAATAAGATTATCAATGGGATGAGGTGGTCCACTGAGAGGAGATGGCATTTTTCTGATGTTCTTGGGGAAAGTTGCCCATTGAACAAAGTTGGTCAATCGGGTCAAAGTTATTCTCAAACCTACCATGAGAGTGAGGCCAATGAGTTTCTCTTCCTCCTCTCCTAAATCTCCAAGAAATGGTATTTTTTGAGCCAGTTGGCCCTGGGTCTCATCAACTGCTGCTCCTTCTCCCAGGAAGGAGTATCCCTGTCACCCATCCCACTGCCCTTGGGGACAGCCAATCCTGGGCCTTGGTTTGGGAGAAGCAGTCCAAGTCTCCATAGCAACTAAGTGATGGAGGAGATGGGTGGTAGGACTTTCCAGACCTCATGCAATTTAGGCCTTATCATCTGGGACTCATAGAAGGTCTGAGCCATAAAAGGCCTTAGGGATTATCTGATTTAATTAATTCTCTCATTTTATAGTGGAAGAAATTAAGTCGGGGGAGGGGTGGGAGGAGGGGTGGGAGGAGGGGGAGGAGGGGGCAGAACTTTCCCAGGGCTCTTTGTTTACCCCCGCCAAAGGCCCGAATTTTGAGTAGGCCCTATCTGTCTGTTTGTCCTTCCAGCCACCCCTGAGACCCCACAGCCTTCACCACCAGGTGGCTCAGGGTCTGAGCCTTATAAGCTCCTGCCGGGAGCCGTCGCCACGATTGTCAAGCCCCTCTCCGCTATCCCCCAGCCAACCATCACCAAGCAGGAAGTTATCTAGCAAGCCGCTGGGGCTTGGGGGCTCTGCTGGCTCCCCCCAGCCTCCTCCGAGAGCACCTGGTGATCACGTGGTCATGGCAAAGGAAGACGTGATGCCAGAGCCAATCCCAGAGCAGGAAGGGGAAGGATGAAGGGCCCGAGAGCACAGCCTAAGGGCCACATTCCACTGCCACCCTTGACTCCCTGCTCTGGATAACGAGACTTTGACTTGGGGAGACCCCACTGGAAAGTCCTCTACTGCCTCGGACAACTTTTCTCATGTTGAAGCCACTGCCTTCACCTTCATCCATGTCGAACCCCTGACTTCACCCCAAAGGACAGCTGTCTGGAGACGACTTGAGGCCTTACTTAAACCCAGCTCCCTTCTCCCCTAGACTGGTGCTCCTCTCCTAGCTCTAACCATGGTGTCCAGACAGAGCCCCGTGAGGATAGGTCCAATCGCGGCCCTTGGGGCATCTCGCTCCTCCTCCTTCTGCTGCCGCCACCTCAAACGCCCCCCTCGCTCTGCTGTCACTTGCTCCGTCATCCCATCTTCTCCAATACCACCTCTCCAGAGGCTGAGGAAGACTTGGAAACAATTCCCCCAGTCATTCTGGTAACATGTAAGCACTGACTGGGGCCAGGCAGGGTATAGAAGGCTGTGGCGAGGGAAGATGCCTCCTCCAACCACAACACACCCTCCTTCTTCAGGGTCTTGGGTGGGTATTCGGGGTGAGGATCTCTGCAGGCTTTTCACCTGAGAAAACAAGCCCAGGTTGGCAACTGCAACAGGAACTTGGAGGGAGGCTGAAGTGGAGAGGAAAAGCATCAGAAAGAAGGAAACCAGGCACTAGGCCTTTGAGAAAGGGGAGAATTCTGGCCGGTAGAGCAGGAGAGATGGGACATTCCAAAGAACAGCCTGAGCCAAGGCCTCAAGGTGGGAAGAATCTAGCAAGGATTGAAGAAGAATGATGTGGGAGAGAGACAGTGAAGAGAGAGAGGGCCTGCTGGAGAGCGTAGGGTCTGGAATACCAGGCCAGGGTCCTGACCAGCTGCAAGGGGTATGCAGGGAGCTGGGCTTCTGGGAAATGAACACGGCAGTTCTGCAGAGGATGGGAGACTGGGAGCTGGGCGGTCAGGTAGTGTGGCTGATATAATGCGGGTGAGGGTAATGAGGCTTGGGGCTGGCAAGGACAGAATGGGTAAATCTTCACATCAGAGTGACATCCAGGAGCAATGATCTCCCAAGGCCTGTCTCAAATTCTGCCTTACTCCCAGGCACTATCGTAAGGCATATGACGTGCATCATCTCATTTAATGCTCCCTTCCTCCCCATTAACCTAGAGATTGTCTTTGTTTATATTTTTATTCTCCCCCTCCCCCAGCCCTCACCCACCCTACCCTCTCCTAGAGATTGTTACAGAAGATGAAATCATGTTCTACACATGATCTTAGCCAAAAGAGGTGAAGCAATTTTTTCTGAAACTCACACAACTAGGAAGTGGCTGAGTCAGGACTTGAACCCAGGTCTCCCTGGATTAGAACAAGAGCTCTTAACTACAGTGGCGAATAGCTTCTCCAAAGGCTCCCTTTGTTCTCACCATAATCAAGTTGAGTGGCTTCCAGCTCCCTTCGCCAGCCTCAGAAACCACCACTAGTTCTTCTGGGAGCCCTGCCCACTCCCAGGACTAAGATTGGCCTGAGGCTGCACCAAAATTCACTTAGGGTGGAGCATCCTGTTTGCTGATAAATATTAAGGAGAATTCATGACTCTTGACAGCTTTTCTCTCTTCACTCCCCAAGTCTAGGGGAGGGGCAGCAAGGGTCTGTTTCCTGGGAGCCAGGCTCCTCTGGCCTGTTGGTGTGGGGGTGGGACAGTGTGCCCAGTACGGGGGGCAGGGGAGGACTAAGCAGGCCTGGGTTTGAGGCCTTCTCTGGGGACCGTCGCTCCGTCACTCCAGGAGCATTCTGGAAACATTAGATTCCCCCCGATGGCACGAGTAGCATGTCATTCATGTGGAATCTTGGTGGCTTTGGGGACATTCTGGAAAATGCCACTGACCAGTGTGAGCAAAAGGAATGTGTCCTGGGGATGGAGATGAGATTAGGTAGGAGGGGAACTGTTAGGCTGACTCCTGCCCCCCAGTCAACACTGACCCCTCTGAGTGGATAGAGCCAGTGCCCATCCCCAGAAATCCTACCATTAGTGGTTGTTCTTTATGTGAAAGAGGCATGAAGAAGTATTGGGGCGATGGGTCAGAGAGGAGTCACCACACCCCTAGGGCAGTCCCAGCCAAGCCCCCGATCCAAGAAGAGACTGCATGCCTCTCAGAGCTCCCAAGACTTTTTCCACCACCTCGCCAAGTGCCCCCGAAATCCCCGCCAGACAGCTCAGCCTGGTCTGCGGCAAGGCGGAGAAGCTGGAACCATTTCTGGGCATTTGGTCATTCCGCTCTGTTCCTCCTTCCCTCCCTCCAGTGTTGCTCAGGCCTCTGTCACAGGAGCAAAGTTGAGATAAGAATGTCCCTTGGAGTGCAGTGGGCACTGTGGCCCTTCATGGGAGCAATCTTTTGGAGCGGGGGGTCAGTTCTCTGCTGGGAATCTACCCCTTTCTGGATGAGAAACCCATTCCACTTTTATAACTTTATTGTAATGTGAGAAACACAAAGTTTACTTTTTTGACTCTAAACTGACATGACATTAGAAAAATCTCTCTCTCTTTTTTTTCTACCTGAATTGTGGTCCTAAAACATAAAATCTGATGGACTAACAGAGGGTTGCTGGGGGGATAGGCATGGGCACAACACTTCCTGCACCAACACACCCCAATCTTCAGGCAGGTCTCAGGAGCTTCTAAAATCCGCATGGCTCTCCCGAGAGTGGCCAGAGGAGAGGAGAGGGTCAGAAAGGAACGCTCTTCTGTTTCTTGTCATGACCAAGACAATTACTTTTTTGCCAAATTTTTCTGCGATCTGCCCTGATTAAGATGAGTTGTGACATTTACATCAAGCAATTATCAAAGCAGGCTGGGTCTCATCAGACCAACCCACATCTTTCTGTGGGTGTGAATGTCATCAGGTCCTGTGCTGACCCCTGAGCCCCCATCACTGCCACCTGATGGTGCACAGAAACAAAAATCATTTCTTACTCTTGTGTGTTTTAACAAAAGTTTATAAAACAAAATAAATGGCACATATGTTTTCTAAGTCCTTGGATGAGTATCTTTTCTTTCTTTCAGGTGTCAGAAATAAGACTGAGTCTTCTGGTTCTACTTGGAGGTTAAAAAAATGTTTTAAAGGAAGAATGAGAATGGCTTTATAGTTCTTTGTGATGTGCAGAATGTTTTTGTATCCTTTATAATTTTTTCAGTCTTCACATCAAGAGGTAAGCAGTTAGACATGATTATTCCCTCTTCCCAGATGAGGAGACTGAGGCTTGTGGAAGTGATTTATCTTGAGAGGCAGAGGTAAACATCTAGCCCTGGTCTCCTGACTCCAAGTACATAGTGTATGAAGGAGTGAAAGTTGATTCCCCCTCCTGAAGAGGGGAGTGATGAGGGAAAGTACAATAGAAAGATCTGGAAGAATGGCAAGAGGGGCCAAGGGTCTGTCATCCTCCACCAAGGTCCAAGACAGAGCCCTTTTCTGGGTCACCTCAATCTGCCAGGATTGGGAGATGAGTAGCCTTGGCGGCATTTCATAAAAGCAATTGATTTTGTTGTTGTTATTGTTGTTTTGTTTTTCGAAGGACAAGGCTGTGCATAGCGGCTCACATCTGTAATCCCAGCACTTTGGGAGGCTGAGCCAGGAGGATCACTTGAGCTCAGGAGTTTGAGACCAGTCAGAGCAACATAGGGAGACCCCATCTCTACAGAAAATTTTAAAATAAGCCATGTGTGGTGGTGTGCACCTATAGTACCAGCTACTCTGAAGGCTGAGGAGGGAGGATTGCATCTGCCCAGGAGTTCGAGGCTGCAGTGAGCTATGAACGCACAACTGTGCTACAGCCTGGGTGAAAGAGCAAGACCCTGTCTCAAAACAGAAATAATAAGTAAAAAGAATAAAAGCAAGGGATGCACTTGAGAATCTCCAGCCAGACCTGTAGCCACTTAGGTCCTCTCCATTGCTAAACTATTATAGAAGGTGGCCTTGTGTCTCTGCCACCACAGACCACGGCGTCACATCGCTCGGGATCATACTGGAGTTGGCTTGTGAGAGCTGGCTGCTAGCTTCTCTTTCCAACTCAATGTTTGCCAATGTCATGTTGATAGCTTGAAATTGGCTATTGCTGGAGTGTTTACACCGCAAGGACTAGCAAGCTCTACAGAGCAGGGCTTTTGTTCCTGGAGAGCCGGTTGTTAACATTCACCAGCACGCCACAGCATTTGGCAGTAGCTGGACTGTGGGATGCCTGCATACAGGGACATCTCATCGGGGATGAGGGTAGAGCAGGGTGATCCTTTTAGCTCTTCCTTAAAGGAGGGGACAAAAGTTCTGGTCTGGAAGGCACACGTCTTGCAGATCACTGTAAACTTGGGCAGTTCACTCTACCGCTCCGAGCCTCATCTGCAAAGTGGGAATGATTGCTCCCTACAGGAAAGATGTCAAAATTCAATGGAATGAAATAACAGTAACTGTGAGAGCTCCCGTTACATGGGCAATACAAGTGAACTCTTCGTGTGCCCCTTTCAAGCGCAAGGTTAACCATTAAGCTCTCCAGCCTCCAGAGCACCCGTTTGCTGTCTGACTGATCCCTAGGGCCCCTCCCGCCTTCCCCTGTGCCTTCCCTCTACTCGTCAGCACCAGGAAATGTTTTCGATAACGTTGCAATGGAGGCCTTGTCCATGCCGCCATCAGGGACATGGGGGAGTGGGGGCCAGGGGAGACTATTTCAGTCCTAAATTGTGCTTAATAAATCCATATCAAAACCATAAACTCTGGGCTGCCATAAATTCCTCTACCCTTGGCTCCTCCACCTCATCAGCCCTTTGCCCCGGTTAATCTCAAATCTCAGCACAAGCAGACAGAGCTTCAGGCTTGGTTTCTATTTCAATTGCTAAACAGCATCAGCTCAGGTGGCAAACAGTAAAATTCCCATTTTAGAGATGATGAAACTGAGGTTCAGAAAGGTGAAGAAACTTGTCCAAGGTCACACAGCTAGAGACCCCAGCCGAGACCTGAGCCCATGCTTCTACCACCCAGGTAGCCTGATCAAGAAATGGGAGTTCTTGGCTGAGCATGGTGATTCATGCCTGTAATCCCAGCATTTTAGGAGGCCAAGGCGGGCAGATCACCTGAGATCAGGAGTTCAAGACTGCCCTGGCCAACATGGTGAGACCCTGTTTCAACTAAAAATACAAAAATTAGCTGGGCCTGGTGGCACGCACCTATAATCCCAGCTACTCAGGAGGGAGAGGCAGAGGTGGTAGTGAGCCGAGATGGCGCCACTGAACTCCAGCTTGGGCAACAGGGCGAGACTCCATCTTAAAAAAAAGAGAGAATTCTCAATTCTCAAGCTTCTTGAGAAGACAGATTTGAGGTGCCCTCTCATGTCCTTGTTTGGTGGCCCTACAATTAAACCTCTTTCTCTGCTACAAAACATTGGAAAAAATACGTGGAATTTCTAAGAAGATGCCTCTTTTTTTTTTTTTTTTTTTGAGTCAGGATCTCACTCTGTCACCCAGGCTGGAGTGCAGTGGTGCCATCACAGCTCTTTGCAACCTTTGCTTCCAGAGCTCAAGCAATCCTCCCACACCAGCCTTTTGAGTAGCTGGGGTACAGTGTGCCAGCACACCTGGCTAATTTTTTTTTTTTTTTTTTAGTAGAGATGAGGTTTTGCTCTGTTGCCCGGGCTGACCTCTTTTTAGCTCTCCTGAAAGCTTGTTTCCCCAAGCCATGCAGTTACTAGAAGCTGCTTATTCCACCATCCCATCATTGATCAGAGTGGGGACCAGAAGTAGAAGGGACCATGGCTGATAGGCTGCTTGAAGAGCCAAAGAATGTTCCCTGCCGTGTGAATGGCCTGTCATCCCACATTGGTGAGATCGTCCTACTTCCTCATTTGTGGAACCCAGATAACCTTTGACCTGCATTTCTCAAATCCATGTATCATATGTAAATTCCAGGATGTGATCTTAGGGACCTGAATCACAGGATCCCAGGCAGCTGTTCAACGACGGTGGAGCTAGACACCAAATCATGATGCCAAGGACATTCACTAGGCTCTTCCTCTTTGCCAAACACGGCTGGACATAATTTAATCCCCACAACACCCTCTGCGGTCATCATTCTTGTGGCTGTGTTTCACAAATGAGGAAACAAGGCCAGGCACCGTGGCTCATGCCTATAATCCCGGCACTGTGGGAGGCTGAGGCAGGTGGATCACCTGAGGTCAGGAGATTGAGACTAGCCTGGCCAACATGGTAAAATTCTGTCTATACTAAAAGTACAAAAAAATAGCTGGGTGTGGCATGGTGGCTCACGCCTATAATCCCAGCACTTTGGAAGGCCGAGGCGGGTGGATCACAAGGTCAAGAGATCGAGACCATCCTGGTCAACATGGTGAAACCCTGTCTCTACTAAAAATACAAAAATTAGCTGGGCATGGTGGTGTGCGCCTGTAGTCCCAGCTACTCGGGAGGCTGAGGCAGGAGAATTGCTTGAACCCAGGAGGCGGAGGTTGCAGTGAGCCGAGATCGCGCCATTGCACTCCAGCCTGGGTAACAAGAGCGAAACTCCATCTCAAAAAAAAAAAATAGCTGGGTGTGGTGGTACATGCCTGTAGTTCCACCTACTTGGGAGGCTGAGGCAATAGAATTGCTTGAACCCAGGAGACAGAGGTTGCAGTGAGCTAAGATCATGCCACACACAAAAAAAAAAGAAAGAAAGAAAAAAAAATGAGGATACAGGCTGAGGAGGAGACAGGAAGGGCCTTGCCCAAGGTCCGCAGCTGGTTACACTCCATAGCTGGTGTGGCCACTGATCCAACGCTCACTGTCTGACTCCAGGGGCCAACATAAGGCCTTGAGGAAGACACTGGTGACTCCGTCACTGCGTGGTGGGCCCAGAAGTAGTGTGAGCCGTGGAAAGTTTATATCACACAAATATTGACAGGCAAAGCCCTGTGCCGAGTCCCTGGGATCATGGAGAAGCAATAGCCTGAGGCATCTCCCTCCTAGAGCTTCAGTTTCCACAAAGACGGGGGAAATAAGAAGCAGCCAACAAGAGCCAAATGGGTGAGGGTGACAGCTGGTGAGGTGGCAGGGAGGGTGAGGTGACTGCACTGTGGGAAAGGGAGTGGTGTGTGCTTTGAAGGAGGATTCAGAGGCAATAACGAGGCACGACAGACCTGCACTCGAGGCTGAGGAGTGAGCAGCATTGGGAGGAGGCAGCAGGAACTCTGCGGATGGGGAAGGAGGGGGCTGGCATTTTCCAACCTCGGTGCACAGGCCACCTTGACCTCTCCGTGTCCGAGGACCGCTGTAACTTCCATGACTTACTTTTTATTAAATCAGTTCCCAGTGATTCCCTTTAAACTTCAGGTCACTGACATCAATAGGACACCAGCATCATTTGCTGTAAATAAGAGGTGATTGCAAAATTAGTGAAAAAACAATGTTCTCCAGCTGCCGTCAGGTGGAATTGCCTCAGGGAAAGCTCCGCTCTTTTGTATTAAAAGGGAAAACTGGCAAACAGTACAGAGATGTTAAAGGCATCTGCACACCCAATGGAGACTTTCTCCTTTCAGTTTGCAGTGGGAAGACCTGTAAAGGACAGACTTTGGGGACAACATCACTTAATACTTTCCAGTATGTTTCTAAAACTTCCCCAGTTTCACCGGAGGCCCTCATCCCACTTCTGGAAGCTTGCTCACTTGGACAGCTGGTCTGCGTACAGGTAGTGGGGACCTCAGATACTAGACAGAGGAGTCTGGAATTTCCTCCGGGGAGAAGGAAGCCACTAGAGGTTCCTGTTTGTTTGTTGAGAGGGAGTCTTGCTCTGTCTCCAGGCTGCGGTGCAGTGACGCGATCTTGGCTCACCGCAACCTCCACCTCCTGGGTTCAAGCAGTTCTCCTGACTTGGCCTCCCAAGTAGCTGGAATTACAGGCACCCGCCACCACGCGCAGCTAATTTTTGCATTTTTATTAGAGAAGTGGTTTCATCATGTTGGCCAGGCTGGTTTCAAACTCCTGACCTCAAGTAATCTG